ATTATGCACTTCCATCAAGCTTATACATTTCCCAGAGAAAATGAAATAAAATTAACTTTTGTATAAGGTCTTAAACAGAAAATACTGTATAAAAAAATTTGATTAGTTAGTTAACGTGCGTTTAACAATAAGTTTTGTAAATTAATGCAAGTAATGCATTGCTAGGTTATGTTTACGAAAACCGAATCCGTAAAATTATATGACACGAAGCATGATATATAAAATTTAATTTTCCCAAAGTACATGTCTTAATAAAAACATAACAACATTTACCTGAAAGTAGTTAACGAAAAACTATAACGCTCCGAAGACATGACAATTAGTTTGCAACAATATCCGTTACTAAAATACTGTGAATATTTAGCTATAAGGTTAGACAACTTATGAAACTGAAATGAACCATATACCGAACAGTTTTAGGAATATTTTTAATTTTATAAAAGTGGTAAACTTTACTTTGAAATTGGGAACATCACCAAGAACAAAGATGTCAATTTTATATCGGACCTCGTGATTTGATATTTTGAAGAACAATCTAAAAGTAGATTCCGTCGTACAAATAGAATCTTTCGAAAATCATTAATGAATCTTGCAGAATTTTGTATGATAATGCAAGAGATGTCTAATAAAAACACATGATTTCTTCGTGAAGTTTACTAAAGCGATTCAATAATCTTCTACAAAAGGAATAGAAATGGCCGACGAAAACGGGAGGAAGTTGGATGAAGAATTATACGCATGGATCTCGACGATTCCATTCTCAAAACCGACAAAAAATTTAAATCGAGATTTCTCGGATGCTGGTATCTTTTTCGTTTACATTATCTGTAGATCTTTAGTTAATTTTTTTATAATCGAAGCGACCATTCTTCAGTTATGATGGCGGAAATTCTCAAAGTATATTATCCCCGTTACGTTGACCTTCATAATTACGTACCAGTTAGCAGCATAAACACGAAAAAAGAAAACTGGAGTTTATTGAATCGAAAAGTATTAAGTAAAATTGACATGAAGTTAACTAAAGATACGATTAATCAACTTGCAAATTGTCAGCCCGGGGCCATTGAAAACGTCTTGGTAGAACTGAGAAATAAGGTCCCGAAAAATTCCGATTACCAAAATTCCTCAAATATTTCAGGCGATGACAAAAACTTTGTCGAAGAAGGTATACTAACTTGTTCATAATAACAAAGAAAAGATTAATGGTAGTATTAAAATAGTATTAATATTTTATTTAGGAAAAAAAGAAGAGGTCAGTGAAAAGGTGATAGCGTCAGACAAATTAACGGTGTATTCTGCTGATCAATTAACTTTAAATACCGAGCCGAGCAAATCGATTTTCGCTCGCGTCAGGGAAAACTTTCTTATTGTCCTGCAATGGTTCGTTAGTTGGTTTTTTGTTTGGAATTACATCCCAAGCATAAAATTTGAATCGTTAATGTATTCTGAAAATCCACGTAAGTTGCCGATAAATCTGACGGCTACATTAAGTCCATTCTTGAAAATAAAAAAATACTCGAAGCATGTTTTTTTTCGTGTTTGTTCAAGCGAAAAAGGATGTTGAGTCACCTAGAGCTGAAAAAATATCGGCGAACGACGAGGAGGAAGAGAGTATCTCTCGTCAGGTTTGCGCGCAATTAAGACAAGAGTTACGCGAGAAAAACGACGTTATTTCTACCTTGAATCACAAACTTGCGTACCTTGAGAGCGCAATGAAGCTTCAAGATCTCCGTATATCCAACCTGACGTCGCAAATCTTGCAAAATGCCGTGGAATCCGAGCAACTCGGAAAAATGCAAACGAGCGACTTGCAAACCAAGTCCCGACTACGATCACCGATCATTCGAGAGAAAATTAAAATCGAAGTATAATGTCTATCAAATTGAATAAATATCTCTTCAGGGGATGAAACAATACGAATATCGCTTTAGTTTTTCATCGAAACTCTGGATTAAAAATACAAAATGTAACGGTCCAAGGAAGACTTCATTATTTCTTATAAATATTCCAGAGTTCCTGTATTGTAACTTCCAGCGTAAATACGTAGATTTAACCAATAAATAGCACATTAAGCTATAAGGAGAACCTACTTTGTCGGACTGTCGTCAGTCTAATTAGTCAAAGTAAACATAATCGGCTTCATTTGAATTCACTTCTTCGTCGTTATGAGCTTTTTAATCGTTTGGAATCGAAGATTTGTATAAGGTGCTATTATGATAATTGAAAAAGGAAGGTTGATGGGACGATTTACGCTCATTTCAGCAATTAATATACAGTTAGTTGTTGAAAAAAGCGCAAATGTAATTAAACAAAGTTACGAATTGGTTGCAATTTTTTTTTTTAAAAAAGATAGATGACTTTTTTTCTAGTATGAAGGAGAGATTTGACGTCAAAGGTTTCTACTTTCGTTGCTAGTTCTGTAGTAACAAAGTGGGGAGATGCTTGGAGAGCGCACGCTTTTACGAATCACGATGTCAGTATAGAAAGAAGGCTCAGGTAGAAAAGGTGTATAAGTAGTTGAACTCTTGAGCCAGTCTGAATGAGAATTTGGTAACAACTGATGTGAGTATAATTAAACGTTAAATTAATATTACTTTTCTACTTGTTTCTCCTGCTTATTGTCTGCCGCTTTCCTACGCCATTTGTTTCGAATTCAATTGTAATCAAATCGCTATTGTTTGAATCGTTGCAGGTAGAATCGCGTGACACTTTCTACGCTCATTAACGAGTCCAAATGCCATCGAAGTTGATTGTTTAATTACTCTTATAATCAATCCTATAAAGTTGTTTACTAGAAATATTATCTTAGATAAACGTAAACTGAACAATAAATGCTGGTCCATTCTTGTACCAGTCAACAATTTTAACACGCAGCTATTTTCTTTTTTTCAGTTTATCATATTAAAGCAAGCTCACTCTTATGCCATGTACGTTGCATATAAGAACCGGTTTATCTTGATTTCGGTACAGACCTGTTCCGTTTAAAGAAGTATCATCGTACATTGTAATAATCCATGAATATTTTATACGATAAAAACCATTACGTACATTGGTTAAATAATTTATTATTCAAGCAATTTGTAAACGTTAATGATAACGTACACGTACATGGAAGTTGAGTTTACAATGTAAAAGTGTGATTCGCATTCGAGAATCCGGTTTGAATGTACGACTAACTATTCTGTCAAGTAGAACGTCAGTGTCCGACATCTCCAACGATTCACGTTCACGGTCATCGACCTTTGGCTGGCATTCTTTCAAACGAGATTTCAAGGTCGTCGGCTGCAACGAAAGGCTTTCGATTCATTGAAAGGTTCTTCAAGCTCTATCACTTCTGTACTAACTCGTCTTCAGCTTATCTATCGTCTAACTCATTAGGAGACGTATATCCTATAAAATGCATTGTGTGTCACCTATCATAAGTACATCATTCGTTTAGATCATGTTACTGAAGATGGTATCATGCACGACGCTGTGTTACTTGGCCGCAGCTCTGTTATTCGTCGTGCTTCTATTCATACTAGCTCTGTACATGTACTCACAGTACACGATGGGAGCCTGCAAAAGTAAAAACAGAATGGACGGAAAGACGGTGATAATAACAGGATGCACTTCTGGTATCGGCAAGGAGGCTGCCAGGGATATCGCAATAAGAGGCGCCAAATTGATCATGGCTTGTCGAAATGTAGAGGCAGCAGAAAAATTGAAAGGTTTAACTTACATACATACATGCACATGCATCTGAAATGCATCGAGTCGAATATGACCGACTTTCATACAGAAAGTCCTCGTTAGTCAAGATGTTTGCATTAGTAGTAGATCATATATTAAATATTTAGTAGCATTTGTTTATTTCTCGAGTCGGTGTTTCAATTTTCTTTTCCGTACCAAATATTTTAATTTACTATAGAAGCAAGCTATCTATTATAAAAAAATTCCTTTTCCACAGAGGAATTATTCAAGGAATCGGGTAATACCCACATTGTTGTTCGAAAGCTCGACCTGTCGTCGCTTTCTTCGGTCAGAAAGTTTGCGGAACAAATAAATCGAGAAGAGGACCGGTTAGACGTGTTGATCCACAACGCAGGAACTGCCGATGTGTTTGAGAAGAAGGTGACGGAGGATGGTTTGGAAATGACCATGGCAACAAATCATTACGGGCCATTTTTACTTACGCATCTTTTAATTGGTAAAACAATAAATATTTCGCGCTCACTGTATTTTAATGCAATTGTTAGAACTTGAAATTATATTGATTGCCAACAGATTTGCTGAAACGTTCAAAACCAAGCCGGATAGTTGTCGTCGCATCGGGCCTATACTATTTGGCGAGATTAAATTTAAACAATGTTAATCCGACTACGACACTACCTGCATACTTGTATTACGTTTCCAAGTATGCGAATATTGTGTTCACCTTTGAATTAGCGAGACGTCTCGAAGGTACTGGCGTAACAGCTAATTGCCTGCATCCTGGTCTCATAAACACTGGTATCTGGAAGAAGGTGCCATTCCCGTTTTCCTATGCTTTACGATTTACATTGAATACCTTCTTCAAAACGCCTGAACAGGGTGCACAAACAACCATACACCTTGCCGTTTCGGACGAAGTAAACGGAATTTCTGGCAAATACTTCACGGATTGTCATGTTAGTAAAAAGTTGTAACAAATTGCCCGTTGCGGTTATCCAGCTTCTAAGTTTACCAAACTCAATTGTATCGTTTGATTTTAGGAACAACAACTTCGTGGCGATATAACAGATCCAGCAAAGGGTAAAAAGTTTTGGGAACTTAGCGAAACTTTAGTGAAACTTCAACCAACAGATCCGAAAATTTAGAAATATACTATGAGTGTTTTATATGAAGTATTCAAGTATTGCTAAGCTTTCCTCGCATTCAGCAATTTAGTTTTTTAGTTATTTTTTGGACGTTTCTATACGAATAACTTGTATCGACTACATCGCCTACTACATACTAAGGAGGAAAATAAATATTTTTTGTACATTTACCATATTTTATTTTATACTTAATGTTTTATATAAGAACGAAGCGGATATAGAAGAGAATGATAATTGCTGTTTGCTTGCTGTGTTTATAAGGTAATAGTTTATCAAAAAGAATACTCTACTGTAAAAGATAGTACGCTCAGTGTTTCACCGAACCTGGCGACTTAGGCACGGGAAACAGTCTTTCCCATAATTGCATTCTTTCAGGGAAGAAGCTATTCTTCATGGACGGATGAAGATTAATATCCAAGAAATTGGTCTGCGAGGGAACGTATGTAGTCCATCTCACGTTCTTGAGTTTATCATTGTCCCTAGGAATTGGTTCACCGTTTTGCACGAAATTCGACCACATGTCCGTGTAAAGTTCAACCATAGGAATTTCAGGAGCGTCGCTTTCGAAGTATGGGAAGAATGACTTTATGAAGAAGAGATACTGTAGATCGTCGTGATGGTTCACACCTTAAATAACATTGAAAATTGTTTGAGTAAATTCAATAGGAGTATACAGTGTACCAGATAAAAGGAAAAACGTAGAAACTTTACCAGTAGGCGTGGTATCATTCCACATTTGGAAGCTGTAACGTCCTTGGAACGTGAATTTGTAAAAGTACACTGGTTGTCTAGACTGCTTAGCAAATATCTTAGCTGCTCGGTACATAGCAAATGTAGGTACAGCATCACCGTATAACTGCAAAGTAATTGCAAAAAATTAATACGATTTTTAACAACGTTTCAGCATATTTGTCTAAACGAATTTTATGCGAACTTGATTAAGTTTGTCATTATTTTCTGGTCCAATTGGCTGATCCTTGAAATAGAATTTCTTCAACTCCCTGCTGATATAATTCGATCGTGGTGTGTCACGTTCGTACATGAATATAATTGGAGCAAGAGTGTTCCATCTCTCGTTTAGCTCACGATACAACGTACCATTTTCATATATCCTATCTTTTTCATACACTGTAATATACAATTAGGTGGTAAGATGAATGTGACACTTGCTAATACTAACGATAAATTTTAAACACTTACAGGAAGCTATTCCACCAAATTCGTTCTCCGTAACACCAAGAATATAAGGAACTTGTTGAAAGTTTCCTTTCATGATCGAATCGTACGGTTGTTCGGTCAAGAATCTGTCTCCGTCACGACTTTCAGGTTCCACAGCGGGTTTCCAAAGTAAAATTGGATTTCCGTACCAATCCTATCGTCAAACATAACAATGTTTATTCGATAGAAGAAAAGACACTTACTAATATGTTATTTCGTACTTACGAATAAGGAGCTCAAGGTGCTTGTAAAGTTTTCCACTGGTTTGCTATTGAAGCAAAGCAACATCGCACCGGTTGAGTCAGTAGGACAGCCCAACAGTTCAGCTTGTTTTTTAACCAGCTCCTTTTGTCCATTTTGCGAGATACTGCCATAGACGTCCGATCCGATAGCCGAAGAACTCATCGAGATAGCTCTATGGAAGAGATTCTTAGACATAGGGGACACCATGTGCAACATTATACTGAAACTTCCAGCACTGTAGCCGCACAAAGTGACAGAGTTTGGATTGCCACCGAAAGCAGCGATGTTTCTCTGTACCCAACGAAGTGCCACAACCTGATCTTTCATCCCCATGTTACCTGGTGCCAAGCTATCACCAGTATTCAAGAAACCTACAAACATTTGCATCAAGCCGTTAGATTAGGATTTCATGCTAATTATATCTTCCTCAAAATTACCTAATGTTCCAAGACGGTAATTAATAGTAACCAAGACGATATCGTGATCCATCAGATATTGCGGTCCAAAGTTGACGCTTTGTCCAGAAAATCCGTAAAAACCACCCGGATGTATAAATATCATAACTGGTCTGCTTACATTTTCGGTCTTACAAGGCAGCTGAAATTGGACGATAAGAAATTTTACTAGTCCAATTATGTTCGAAATGGATCTAATTACAACTTACTTTTGTGGTGTAAACGTTTAGTCGTAAGCAATCTTCAGATTGTATTTTTCCATCCGGATGAGGGCAACTGGGTCCTTCTTCGGTAGCGTCGAACACATCCTTCCAGTCTTGTGCTGGGATTGGAGGCTGTACAATTTAAAAACAATTCTATGTAATTGATATTAGTCAGAGACAGTACGTAATACAAGATTAATTTTATATGATAAGAAAACTTGATAATCTGTACATTGACGTTTTAACGATGATTCACAGGTGGACCACTTGTTACTGGAACGGAAGATCTTGTTAAGACATTTCTTAATACACACGAATTAGGTAAGTGACACTAATGTTTCTTTACGACACGTTCATATAATTTCTACTCTCGTAACTTCTAAACATTCTCCTTCTCAAATTCTCAAAATCTCTTAGAAATTTTTTAAACATAATATGCTTACCTGAAAACGTTGATGTCCAGTGGGTGGTTCTCCGTATCTCACACCACGAAACGAATAAATTTGTTTGCCAAGTCTCGAAGGTATAATCGAACCCTTAATTTTTCCAGTAGGGGCAGTTACTACTGGTTTCTCATCGTTGCTATTTTGAGCATTGCTGATGGCGATGAAGGCAGCAAAGAAAAGTATCAGAGTACTTTTCATTTTAAAGCTTGAAAATCAGCTTTTTTTTCGCGAAAATCCTGTTTCCTTCGAAGGAGAACTAGAAGCGGAGGATGAGTGGATCCAGTGAACCAGCTCAGACGGTGTTCATGCGAACACTGAAGAACTCAAGGGTAAAACGGAACAATTTATATGATTGCTAGGAGGAAAATGAGTGGGGAAATCCAATTACCGGTTCGCGAACAATGGTGTCTTATAAACGCTTATGTAAAGACATTTCCAAATTTGTTACACTTATAGCTTTTTTAGATCAATCATATCGCGAAGATAAAAATATGAATATTTATTTAAATAACATTCTAAACGCCAATGATTGTGACTAACTGGTCAATATTCTTAATTATGATAACATATTCAACTTGTACCACTTGCATAAATATCAAATTGTTATCTTACATTTTTAATTCATGAAACATTGATTGCTTCAACATGGGAAATTTGACGGATAATAATACTACAAGTATCATGACCTCAAGTATCGTTAAATAAAATCTTATAAATAAAAGATAACGATATTAATAAATAATGCATGCAAGACAGTCACTTGGAATTTTTAATCAGCAACGAGGAAGAGGAAATATGAGAAAATGTAAGAAATTAATTTCTATATTGCATCTTTATTCAAATAATACAGAAAATTGAAGAGATTAAAAATTATATTTCTTGTTTATGCTGCCGGAGGTAAAGGGAACAGTTTTTCCCACTCCTGCATTCTATCAAGATAGAGGCCAGTCTTCATGGTAGGATCCGTGTTAATTTCCAGGTAATTGTCTTGATTAGGAATAAACCTGTCCCACTTTATCTTATTAAATGGACCACTCTTGGGAACAGGTTCACCACTCTGAACGAAACTTGTCCAGATAGATGTATATAACTCCACTATCGGAATTTCAGGAGCAGTTTCATCGAAGAATGGAAAGAAAGACTTCATAAAGAAGAGATATTGCAAATCGTCTTGGTGTACAACACCTGAAATATTTCAAAACGATGAAGTTAAGTAGGATATAAATTAAATATAAAAAATTTACCGTATGGTGTGGTGGCATTCCACATTGTAAAACTGTAACGCCCTTGATACGAGGATTCATAAAAATAGACTGGTTCTCTAGAATTCTCAGCTATCAGTTTTGCCCCACGATACATAGGAAATATAATTACGCTGTCTGTATAAATCTGCAAGCGAATAAAACCATTTCTTGTAAATTGAGCTCGATAGAGTGAAAAAAACATGTTCGCGAAGACATACGTGAGCGAGACCATCGTTGTGAGCTGGATCGATTGACTCATTGTTGAAATAAAATTGACGTAACTCTTTGGTGATATATGCTGACCGTGGTGTGTCACGTTCGTACATAAAGCTAATAGGTGCAATTCTGTTCCAGTTATCGTTGAGTTCACGATAAAGATCGTTGCCTCCCTTAGTTTGATTCTCAAACGCTGTAAAAAGTATGACAAGGTTGCAAGAAGTTCGATAATTCTACCTAATTTATATGAAAATCAAGAAGCAACTTAACGTACCAACAACTACTCCTCCAAATTCGTCCTTCGTCACTCCAAACATGGCAGGTACTTGATTAAATTTTTTCTGTCTGATCAGATCGAGTGGTTGCGCTGGTAGGAATCGTTCCACGCCTGGAACTTCCGGTTCTACCACTGGTTCCCATATCAGAATTGGATCTCCGTACCATTCCTGAAGCGATTCAATCGTGAAACGATTATCCGCTAAAACATTCTCGCTGTACAATTTTTAAAATCAAAGGTAAACTAACGAAAAACTGGAGCATAGTATCCTTAAAGTCCTGAACTGGCTTCGTTTTCATACAAGCCACCATCGCTTCGCTATCGTTGGTTGGACAATTTAGAAGTTTCGCTTGCTTTATCGCGATATTTCTTTGCTGCGTTGGAAAAGGTTCCAGGTTCATCAGCGATCCGCTCATCACGATCGCTCTATGAAACAAATCTTTCGACATAGGGGACAACATATGCAAGTCGGTGCTAAGCCCTCCGACGCTACAACCGCTGATGGTCACGGAGTTTGGATCACCTCCGAAAGAAGCGATGTTCCTTTTAATCCATCGAAGTGCAACCACTTGATCTTTCAAGCCCAAATTGCCTGGTGCTACCGAATCTCCCGTACTTAAGAAACCTACATAGAACATTAATCATTTCTCTGCTAATTTTTAACAAATGCTTGTTAATTATTCGTTCAGGTAAATTACCTAACGAACCGAGCCGATAATTCACAGTGACCAGAACGATATCTTTATCCATCAGATATTGGGGACCAAAGTACAAGCTCTGACCAGAGAAGAAATAAAATCCACCTGGATGGAAAAATACTAGCACCGGTCGTTTTACATTCTCGGAACTCGAAGGTAACTGCAATGTTTAAACAATTGTGACTGACAAGAATGATCTGTATGATACGATCTGCTTTATGATAATGATGAAACATACTTTAGTAGTGTACACGTTCAAACGCAAACAATCTTCGGACCATGTTGTGTTACCCAAACTTGGACACGCAGGACCTTCCTCGGAGGCATCGAAAACATCGTTCCAATCTGCTGCTGGAGTTGCTACCTGTGTTACAAAGAAAATTGCAGAAGATTGCCTTATTCTAGCTGGTAACCCATAAATATTCGCGTAAATGGAAACACAAAGAGTATTCTTTGTTCTCACGGCTGAAGGCTAACGATAAGTTTGACAAATGTTTACGGACAGCTATCTTTCCAGGATTAATAAAATTACGGTTGAGAAACGAATGAAAAATTTACCTGAAAACGTCGATCTCCCGTAGGTGGCTCGGCGTATCTTACACCACGGAAGGAATAAATCTTTCGTCCAAGCCTTGAATTCAAAATAGATCCACGGATTCTTCCAATTGGTGCTCCCACTTCCGGATGCTGTGCGCAACAGTACACGCTGCCGATGCCGATAACGAGGAACAAGATCGCTTGAAGTGAGTTCATTTTTTTCGATAATATTCGAACCATATTTTTTCTACGGATCTTAAACCCGCCTTTGGTCAATAAGACGGTTGATTCACCAAGCCACTGCTCGAGTGGCACTGAAACGGCAATCAACAGCGGAAACATTTTATACTTTGACCGACAACGAACTTCTTTGTGAGAGTAAGGAAACTTGTCTAAATCTCCAGAAATTCCCCTGTACAAACATTAAAATGCGTAAGGACATTGCACTGCTGTTGTTGAATAATAATTAATATAAAACATGATTCATGTGATTTCTATTTTTAAATTGCTAGATAACTGTACATAGTATAGTGATTGAACATTGACCAGGCAATAATGTGTCATTAACACAGCGGTACAAGCGACAGCTATTAATTTAATCTATTCTGTGAACTAGATTCGACGTTATTTAAAATGCATTTTCCTTGTTTACTTAGAACTCTATGCATATGTTGTTACACCGCGACCTTACATAATCGTTGCGGATATTCCGAGGAAAACGAATATACAAGGTATGTCATTCTATTTTTCAATGACATATTCACACGCGCGTGAGTGGAATATAAATTATTATTTATGGTTCCATAGAGTTTCATGTGCAGTTTTTACTCCTCTTCTTCTTCTTCTTCTTCTTCTTCTTCTTCCTCTTCCTCCTCTTCTTCTTCATCTTCATTTAAACTCGCTTTTTCTAATTCTACTTCTTTGTCTTCATCTCCTGCTACGGTCATTTTGGAAGCTTGCTTCATCTGAGTCCTTGTTCTTCTTTTAATTTTCATTTTTGGATACAGCTTCGCAGCTCTTTTCCTTTCCATCTTCTGTCTCTTTGCTAATTGTGGGTATATACAAGGATCATAAGATGGTTCATAAACGATCGGATCAATTGGTCGTTTTCTAACGACTTTCTTCTTCTCTTCTTTTTTCGGGCACTCGCCCATTTTGTACGGTTTCGTTTTGGGCAACACCTTCCCATAAACCTGCAACAAAATTGATACATGAATTACCAGTGATTGTTTTACACAGCCTAAACTTGGATGATTTAAAAAATTTACAGGTATTATGAATATTGGTTTTCCGTAGGCATCCTTCTCGCGGGGTGGTTTCCTTTCGATCGGATCTCGAGGATTCGTTGGTTTTGCCAATTCTTCGACTCTGCCGGAAGCAGAAGCGGACAGAGCACCCTTTTTCACCGTGAAAGCATTGGTTCTGCAGCTTCTGTCTTTGCGGTCTCGTGGTTTAGATAATTCTGTCATGCGGGGAGATGCTGCAACGAAAAATAAAACATCAATCTATCTTCGTCTTCGACGAGCCGGCTTGTTTCTTTAGCTTCGAAGCAGACCTTCAAACTCTAAAGTTTCTTTCTTAATGTCCTGTGAAATGGGCTTGCACGGATACGGTGCATATCTCCAAGCGTTTTTCTTCTTTTTCCTTATCTTCTCTTTTCTTTCTGCCTCCTCCTTCTTCTTCTTTTCCTCCTCCTCCTTCTTCTTTTCCTCCTCCTTCTTCTTCTTTTCCTCTTCTTTTGAAAGTTTTTGTTCAGTTCCTTTTCGTTTAGTTTTCTTCTTCGCATCGCCATCATCGCGAGTCTGCCTTTTCTTTTGTTTCTTCTTATGCGGTGCCTTTTCCGGTTTCTCAGGCTCGCAATCTTGTTCAGCCTCATACATGAGGATATCTTCGTCCTCGCAGATTTTACGCGTAGCCTCGTACCTACTTCTTCTTTCATCTTTTTCTTTTTCTTTTTCCCTTCTCTTCTTCTCTTTCTCCTCCTCGCACAATTTCTTTTGCAGCTTTCTCATCTTCCTTTCCCTTTCCATTTCTTTCGCCCTTCTCTCCGTTAGCTCAACCAAAGCTTCTTTACCCCTTTGCTCTCCTTCATCTACTATCGTTTTCTTCCAAGTCACCGCTTGTTTGTCTTTTCTCTCCTTGATCGACTTATACTTAGGCAATGCTAGATATTCCATCCACGGTGTAATCTAATATAAAGGACGAGATAAAAAATTATTCATAATTTATCCTTTTTACTTCATTAATTACAGAAAAATGGTTAACACCTTATAGCCCAACGCGGTCCTCCTTGTACCCAGAGGTGTGAAAAGTTCTTCCATTTCTTCCTTGGTAAGCTGTTCAGGACAGTGCAGCAGCTTCTTATTCATGGCTAATATCCTCAACCTCTCTGTGTCCAAAACCTTTGGCCGACACATGCTCAGTCTAGGTGGCTTGCATTCCTCGGGGATGATAAAATGTGGTTGACTTAACTCGCATATTCTCTGCGACGCTACGTATTCCAACGCTGCAGGTGAGACCTGATAATAAACTCGTCCATAATCGAGAAGTCTTATAATCGGCAAGGCGAGCAAGTTCGTTCGCATCGACGGGGCTGCTTTTAACGCTGCTTTTGAAACACTTTGATCCTCCCTGCAGTTGATGCTTGGATCCGGTGCTTTACGCGGTGCGGACAAAACGATCATCCGTTTTTTAAACTGCCATAACGGCCTCGATGGTCGAACCTAAAAAAAAAGAAATATTACACTGATGGTAATTCTTAAATTGTTTTTATTTCAGTACTAACTATGGCTTCTGGTTCCGGGATTTTCTTCGGGTTCGCGTTGATTGCTGCCCAGGCATTGAAGCGAGCCCAGTCGGCCGGAGTTGCCAGCCATCCCTTCAATTTCTCCTGTGTAGCTTTTCCAAACCTAAAAGAACCATCAAACTCTCTGAATTCTTATATAATTTAATTATGGATATTTGAACTGTTCAGAGAGTTGCTTACCTCGATCTGGTTCTCGATTTACTTAATCTTTTTCTACCTTTTCCAGGTCTACTCGACGCTGGTTTCCCTGCTGCTGGTTTTCCAGCTATTGTTTTCCTTGCTGTTGACTTCTCTCTTCTTCGTTTATCAGCCTTGTCTTTCTTACTTGATCCTTTTTCCGAAATTGTGTCTTTTCTACGGAGTGCAGTAGATCCCTGTGTTGTAACTCTTGGAGCCATTTTTAAGGACTTCGAAGTATGAGTTTTTGATGAATTGAAGAATTAATGAAAATATTCGGCTTTCGTTATTTCCATTTTAACGGCTATTGCGGTTTAATGAAGAGAACAATGATTGATAGAACTGACTATGACATGTTTCGATGGATTTTATTGAATCTTTTTATATTTTTATGTCATGTTTGTATTATTTTAAACTTATCCATTTTTTGTTGTTGGATGGGTTGGGTTTGCCAGATTTTGAAGGAAGGAAAAACGTTCGCTTGTTTTCTGCTTCGTCATAGATACATGTGTATAATCTATACTTGGTAAATTATTTTACGAAGCATAATTAATTAAATATTTTATTTAGTAATTAAGTGTAACAAGACGAATAAGTTTGATAGTTTAATTATATTTTTGTTACATGTTAAACTTTTTTCCAATTACTGGTTCATGTTTTTTTTCAATGCCGCAGATTTAGCATTGTATTTTTTAATTGTTTGAAAGTAATTGTCGTAATCTTCGTACGACTCGTTTCGAATTGAAGGATTCCTTGGTTTCGCGAGTTCGTGTAAACGTTTCGAGCATCGTTTATTTCTGGCTGCAACGATACGGGCATAAGTGTCCAATAAAAATTTCTTCTTCTTCGATTCCAGCGCGTCCTTTGACTGTTCGTTGCTATTTATCAGCTTCTGACGTTCTCTCACTAATATCAATGATGAAAGGTATTACCGCATAATTTTGCAATGCAATTATTAGCCATTTTTACAAACTTCTATCTAAGAATAAACTACCTGTGTTTGATGAACTTCTTAAGCTGGATGACGCGCTTAGTGTATTTGTGACCTGTTTTCGTTTCGGTTGAGCCAGTTTGTTTAAGGAATCTGTAATTTGATAAGATAATGCTTCGGGTTTTACCTAAAACGCCAAATAAATTACGTTACGTTTTCGCAATGTTCTTATTATCTTCTTGTAACACTCACATTGAAGGCATTGTAGTTACTAGTTCGATCGATTCTTTCCTTTGGCTTTGCTAATTTTTCAAATCTCGGTACATTTTCTTGAGTACCATTCGTGTTCATAGCGTTTATTTGTACTTAAACGAAATTGAAATTTTTGTAAATTGTTTTTTGAATCGTTTTTAATGGGTAGTTTATAAGGTTCGTTTCGGTTGAACGGAGAATTTTGAAGTGTTTATTATGGGGTTAAATTTTGATGTTTGACAACGAAGCGGTAGTCAAGGATCGTGCAAGAAGATCGTTTAGAAACTTCAATTCATTCCTGTCAGTCGGTTCGATTCTATATTTTTCGATTTTATATTTTTACATTAAATTTTTGTTCATGCAGAAGACAGTAAAATGGCATCAAAATCATTTATTAAAAAAAAGCATACAAACAAAAATAATGCTTTTTGGTGTGCCCCTAGAAAAGTAAAGAGCACAACTGATGTAATAAAGCTTGATAGTTTGTTAACGTTAAATAAAAAACCAAAAAAAGTAAAATCTTAATCTGATATTTAGAAGTGAATCAACATTATCACAAGATAAAGATATCGTTTTTATTTGTAGAAACGTTGTAGGAAAGTGCGAAAACATGTAAAAAAGGTGAGACGTATCGAAATCCTGGCTAAGCCTAAATCTGCAAAGCATCGACCAGAATATAATGTGAATCTTCACTTTTTTTAATTCAAATTCTTGTTAACTAATGTTCGAACTATACATTTGTTGCATTAAAGTGGTTTAATCTATCCCAAAGTAGAAAATGACAGAAGTGTTCCCAACAAAACTAGCTGATCTCATTTCTCCTCGGAAAATTTCGAAGCCAAACAAACTGAAAACAATGAAAAATATACCGGAAAATTTTATAATTAAATCCAGGAAAAAGAATTCTCCGCGGATCATGCTGCCTAAGAAAATAGGTCTTCGATTATTCTCTCTAGGTCTTTATTACTCGTTCCAATAATTTCACTTCTATTATTTAATGACCGAATGAACTTAATATTTAGAATCATTAATCTGTTTTTAACAGTGACGAAAAGGCTTAAGGAATTAACAAACTCTAAAAGCGTATAAGAAGAAATTACAGAAACTATGATAAACGTGAAGATAATCAACTGAATTAAAAAGTTATTATAAAACTTTATTTTGTACATATAAAAATATTAATGGACGGTGTACGATATACATACAGTCGTATGTGATAAAACTTATCTTTATGTAAAGTCTTCAAACTGGACGGATTAAGCTTAAATCTCAAATTTCCAAGTTAATATTAACTATAGATATCTTAGTAATGCTTATTCAACATATATATATATGTACTCATAATTAATGTCTGAACACATTACACACAGAAATTATTGAATCTCTAAGTTACATGGTTGTTGTAGTATCTAAATGTACTTTTTAGTGATCAGGATGCGATAAGCGTTTAATATTCTACTCTTTTGTTCAATGTACACGTATGTTTAGCAAAGATTCATTGGTTGCAAAAAAGATCTATTAAATTTTATCTGCTAAACATGTAAGTAAGTACAATCATAACTATCGTGGCTAATATTGACTGTTCTATAGCTGATGCTCCAGCGTTACAATCTACGATTCTTCTAGCTCTCATAAAATCTGGACCTAAATAAGAGCTATACTCTCTTTTTTCAGGTGGTATCACCTCTAACTGTTGCGTAGCATCTTGGAAAATTAAATCACTGTAAGGTGGCGGACTGTAAAACATACTAAAGCTAAATTCGTCCTGCTCCTTTCTACCGTAAAACTGTTGGGCATAAATGAATAAATTGATGTATGCGTTTATTTGTGTCTCGTTGTATCCGTAGTATCCACCGCGCGTAACTATCGCATTGGCGGCGACCTTTCCCAAATTACAATGCGCGTAATCAGTAGTCGGTCGACGAGTACCATCCGGACAAAGCAATTCAAAATCTTTCGTAAAGGTATTACGCGCCCACGTTTCTCTTCGCTTTCCATCCGTGTTTTCAGCTACTGTCGTATGCTTTACGAAAGCCACGTCCCCACCGCCTTCGACTAAACATCTGAAAGCACCTGTATATCCAAAATAATCTTCGGACGCATCTCTACGACAGTAGCGAAAACTTGCACCGTGACACAAATCGCACATGTTATCGTAAGGCACTCCCGTATTGTATTCGGTACTAAGCGCACCCGGAACACAAGATTTACTAAAATACTCTGCGGCTGCGCGAACAGAGTCGCAACCATAGCCCCTGATCCAAGTATTGGAAATTAGATATGCTAATGGGTAGACCCAACCCGCTGCCGTATTAATTCCCGTGTGACAAGTGTACTTATTTTTCAAATAAGTCAAGTCTGTATTGTCGTCTTCTTCTTTTGCCACTGCAACTACGTAATATTCTGGCGTAGGTAAATTGTAAACTTCAGATATGAATGGAATTAAATCAAAACGCAAGCCGGCAGTATATACGTCACTGGTATCTAACACTGTTACATCGGCAATTCTGAAAGTTAGAGAACAACGTTGTTACGATAATTTGCTTTTGGTTTATCGAACAATCGATTTATCCATATACGTGGATGTTTGAAATATACGTACCCATTTTGTATAGCTTGCATACAATGAATTTGACTGTGACCTTTATGGCAATTTAATTCCGGTTTCAATAGTTGCGCTTTTAACGCTATCTGAAATAAAATAAATAGAACTGATGATAGTTAAGAAAAGTTCAAAGTTCTACAGGAAAATTTGATATTTCTTTACCTTCATTTTTATACATTTTTCCATTTCTGGATCAGACGTAACGCACAAAGTCATTCTATTGACGGTGCAACGACGCACTTCCAAGATTGGATCTAGAGAACTACCTAAATAACCACCATATGTTTGAACTTTTTCCGATAATTGAACAAAATCCCGTGCACAATCCTATAATCATACAGTAAAAATGAGATTGCGAGAAAAGTAAAGGTATTCAAATAATAAATGTTCTGCTTACAGAGAACATTAGGTTGTGATGTATTCCGTATCTCGGAGCGGATTCAAATAGATCGAATATTTCTATTGGTTGTATATTCGTGGATTCATCTTTATCCAATGGATTTAATTCATTCCCATTGAAATTTCTTTCGTATCCATTGCGATTTTCAAAATCTTCCGAGTTATATTCGTTTGGATTAGCGTACGCATTCCTGGTAAAATTATTTTCATCAAATCTGTTATTAAAACCTGGTCGATTTTCAAAGCGATTGTTATAAAAGTCGGTCGAATTTTTGGCGTTATGTTTATTTAATACTCGAACTGCTCTTTCTAAAAATCTTTGATACGATCGCCGGATTTCGAGCTTTGTAGCAGATGACGTAACTATAGCACGGGAAGGAACAGTACCCCAATTGCAAAGTTTATAGTCGTCGATAGATTTGCGTGTACCGTCTCGGCAAAGCAACTCAAACTGTTCTTTCTTCACAGAATCTGTTGTAAAAATAATTTATTTATTATCTTATCATGATTACGAATATTATCGGTATGATACTGAATTGGAAAATTTACTGAAGTCAAAAGTTGTTGATGTCATTTCAGTCACTGTTGTGTGTACTAAAAAGGCAATTTCTCCTGCCTCTACCAGGCATCTGAATGCTCCTTCGTATCCTGCATAAGGGTCTGAAGTGGTACATTTACCTCCAGGTATTTTTCCAATACACAACTTACACAATTGATCAGAATTGTCACCTTAAATTAAAAATCATTATTAATGTTGTCATCAGATATTTACATATGTAATATCATTTAGACTGTTAGCTGTACCTAATGGATTATATTTATCAATCAATGAATTAACTGCACAACTGGGCCCAAAGTATTTAATAGCAGATTTCACATGATTATTGCAGTCAATAATTTCTAGTCCACCTTGTTTCATCAACTATATATGAAACAAAAGTAAAATTATTGCTCAATTAAGTAGATAATGTTCAGAAGTATGACAAAAGGAAGTTATATTTACAGTATAAATGGGAATTATCCAGCCAGCCAACATTCCAAGACCAGGAAAGCAAGCTTTTTTGCCTCTTAAATCATGTAAACTCTGTACATCTGGCAAAGAACCTTTCTTAATAACTGCCACTGTGTACTGATAATTTACACCACTTTCATATATTTCTTGCATAATTGGTATTAAGCTATGATAGCGACCACCTATAAAAATTTCCCCTGCATCTAATGTAGTTATATGTGCTTCCTCTCTATCCAACATAGTCATGCATTCTTCTTTATTTGATGCTTGTTTGCATTGTAATGAAATATAACTATAATCAAAAAATGCTATTTCACGATCAACAGCTTTTGCAAATGCATTACACTTGTCTTGTTCAGGTTCTGATATTGTACACCATGTGACAGTGTGATTGAGGTTTTGTCCTACAAATGAATTTTAATAAATTTATTTATATAAATTAAAATAGGTGATTCATTGTTTGAAATAACATGGTACTTAAAAATAATTAAAAATATAGAGACATATTTTATACCGTATATTTGAAGAGATAATAAGTTGAAGAATATTAAAAATATATTTATGTATTCGAATAACATTTTTAATACTTTTGTATGGGAGCGTCAATAAGAAAGACAACACCCATCACTCTAATACCAGTGACTACAGATGCTACAAGACCTCACACCCACACTTTGGTCTTCTAGAACGAGCGCCATCTGCTATATTTAGTGTCACACGTTAATTATTAATTAATTGCAAAACTAAATCGCAACTGAAAAGACACTATTTTAACTTCCTTTGATTCTACTTTTCGGAAATCAATCAAAATCACCACAAGACCTAAAAATTATCAAAATAATTGCTCGACAAACTTGTGTTCACAAACTTGTATTTTAAAAAGACCGCCCAAAATTCGATCGTGGTGCCATCTACACGCAAACGGCTCAAACTACTCAACAAGTTACCGATCGAAATTTTTTTTTTATTTAAACACCTGAGACCCCACACAACCTATGTGTGAAAGGGCTCTTTCATAGGCTTGTGTGGGGTCTCAGGTGTTTGAATAAAAAAAAAATATATATATATATATCGATCGGTAACTTGTTGAGTAGTTTGAGCCGTTTGTGTGTAGATGGCGCCACGGTAAAAATAAAAATTTAATTTTGGGCGGTCTTTTTAAAATACAAGTTCGTCAAACAATTATTTCAATAATTTTTCCGTCTTGTGCAAACCTCGTCTCGAGGTTTTTAGGATTCCCAAAATCATGATCCCTCGAGAACAAAGGCATTTTTAGTCTTTTTGTATCTGTAATTAGTGGTTAGTATTATAATATGAAACACATTCTTAGTGCAAGAAACCCAACCAGGGATACTATGAACCCCAAAATCCTTATATCATTAAGTCTTGTAGTATCCGTGACCACTGGTGGTACTGTTCATTCTTTAAACTATTTAATTGTTAGTGCCATATCATAAATGATTGTTGCAAATTTAATTAAGCAACGGTGAATGTCGATGATGCATGAATTAAGTTTCAATGTGTGTCATAATTATGAGTATAAGCGATCAGAAAATATGTGCGTTTGGTATAAGGAACGTATTCTTTTCGGTCCAGTGACCGATGAATATTTGGCAAGCCAAAAAAGGTCTTGTTAAATAAAAATCAATCGAAAAATTGATTCAAATACTTAATTTAAAAAACAGTATGTGAAAATGAAATTGTATATATCACAAGTATCTCATTTTTGTGTATGACTTACACATCGAAGCAGCGGTAATTTTGAGATACGTAAAATGTAATACGATTTGCATTAATTTTATTAATTGATCAATTGTAAATTAAATACAAGCTTAGAAAATATGCAAATGTTTTACTAGTTTTCTTGAAGTAGAACAATGTTATAACATTGTTAAATCTTTGTAAGACTGTTCAATGAAAAGTTTATGTACTTCTGAACTTAACATATTCTACTTACATACTTGTTATTAGGCATGGAAGTTGTTTGGAAGAGTATAAAATTTAAATATATATTTACTTGCATTCTGATCACATTTATTATTTCATGTTTGATAAGTATTGCACCAATAAGTATTGGTAAGAGTTCATATTCTCTAAATGTGGACTATTAATGATTAAGAAAATATGTTAAGTTTTTATTATTTTAGATGAATGCAAATGTGAAGTAACTACTCAATCAAGTCATTATAACAATTTTAAACAAGAAAATAATGATGATAAAGCTTATAAAAAGTCAGTACATCATTTAGCTGTACTTGTGCCATTTAGAGATCGTTTTGAAGAATTGTTAATCTTTGCTCCCCATTTGAAGAAATTCTTAGATAAACAAAATATAGATTATCATATATTTATACTAAATCAGGTATTCTTTTGCTCTGATATAATTATTAATAAAATAGGATTAGGATTAAACAGTAATATTCTTTATGTTCACAGGTGGATAGGTTTAGATTCAATAGAGCCTCTCTTATAAATGTAGGCTTTCTTGAAATTAACAAAGCTTTTGATTACATAGCTATACATGATGTAGATTTACTACCATTAAACGATGAGTTATCATATTCATTTCCTAGCAAGGGCCCTCATCATGTATCTTCCCCAGAATTACATCCTAGATATCATTATCCCACGTTCATTGGAGGAATATTACTGATTAAAAGGTTCTTGTTATAATAACTTTTATAATTCCAGATATTTAAACAATTATACAAATGATAATAAGAAGAAAAAAAACTCTTACAGAGAACATTTTATACAAGTAAATGGTATGTCTAACAAATATTGGGGATGGGGCCTTGAAGATGATGAATTCTATGTTAGATTGAAAGAAGCTGGGTTAATAGTCACAAGGCCACAAAATATATCTACTGGAACACATAATACATTCAAGTATGATATCTATTACATTAGTTTATATATTTATATGAACAAAGTTTCAATAATATTTGTAAAGTAAATATCAATTATTAATATATAAATTTCAGGCATATACATGATAGAAATCATAGGAAACGGGATATGATTAAATGTTATAATCAACGCGAAGTTACTAGGAAACGAGATCGCCAAACCGGCTTAAATAACGTTTCTTATAAAATATTAGGTACAATTAAAATGACTATTGGGGACACGTCATTAACCGTCCTTAATATTTCTTTAATGTGTGATAAATCGAGCACACCGTGGTGTGAATGTGATAAAGTGGTTGGATCAAAAGATGGGAAGTCTAAGGAGAAAAAAAAGGTCAATAATAAATCTGCCACTGGATTGTAATTACACAAACGAAAGTGTATTGAAAGGAAAAAATATATGTATATATACATATATATATATATATATATATATATGATCTAATATATTTACTTGATAGTTTTCTTTACCTCTTCTGCTTTGCATATATTTAATAAAGTAAATAAAACAATTTTGTATAACTTACACTTTTACTGGATTACTTACATATGAATAATTTTATGCAGTATAATATAAATGTTTTGAGTAGTAAGTGCATTAAGTAATTAAATGGTATTTAAATTACGTGTATACTCAAAAATATTATTACATTATTAATTTTTTTTAATTAGTTTCAGCATAATCTAATTATTTCATTTTTTTTCTCTTAAATTTGTAGCGAATTGATTTCCGTATTTCAGTACTAAAATATATGTACATGTTAGGATTGTCGCCGAGTTGGAACTGAGCGACAATCTTTATTTCACTAAAAAGAATTTCATATGGTTATCCTAATCTATTGTAAAAAAATCTGTTTATGAATAATGATTTAATACTGTAACCGACTAATTAATATAATCGTTTACATTACGCATATAATAATGTCTGTACATGTACATATTTACATTCAACCTGAAAGCATGAAATATTGTACGTATATACAATATATAATTGTTGCTAGAACAATGGTATGTTTACAAAATTAAGGCTACATAACCGCGTTTAGCTGTAAAATGAAATGTTCTCTCAATTCATTTGTACTAAAATCATCACCATCATTATTTTCATCGAAAATATCTTGAACAGTTCCTGTTACAGTTTCTGCACCTTCATATTCAGTTGTTTTAATTACTGAATCAGAAAGTTCTATGTTTTTTTCATCAGTTTCAGATTCGTTATTTACATCGTGTGCTTTTTCTATTTTAATGCTTAACTTTGTAGAAGAATTTGGTGTTTCATCCACATCACTTTTATTATGATCTGTAAAATTTTCGTTAAGGACTCCTTTTCGTAAAGCTGGTAATGGCGGTAATGGAAAACCATAAGAAAGTAATTTATCATAACCATTTCTTCCACAAACTTTTCGAATATCTGCTGCCATAGCTAAAGCTTTTCCCGAGAACTCTTGTTTAGAGCTATCAATTAATATTTCATTAAACTTACTCATTTTTTCGTCTAGGAGTTTCCTCCTTCTCATTACAGTTTGCATATTTAACATTTTCCTTCTATACGTGTTTGTGTTTTTCTCTGCTCTTTCAAGATACTTTGAAGCTTTCTCTAGCTTCCAGTTAAGCTCCTTAATCCTATTGTCTTTCTGCTTAAGTTGCCCCTCAAGCTTTCTCTTTTGTTGAGATTCCAATGTTACTGTCTTCATTAATTTCTTATTCATCTCCTCAAAATAGTTTACCCTGTTTGATAAATCTTCTATCAATCTTTGTTTAGATTCTAAATTCTTTTTACTAAGCATCGAAGACTGTATGTTACTCGATCTCGTATTAATTCTAGCAGCTTCTGACTCTTTACTTTGCAGTTCTTGTCCAATACTTTTATTTCGCATATTATTTTCTAATTCTTTATAGATAATCAATTGGTCAGTTAATTTTGAAATCACATTCTCTTGAATTTGTATCCTTTCTAACAATTCTTCATAATCCGAAGGAACACGCCCAACATTGTTCTCTAAAGTTTGAGCATTGTGCGTACAGTTCTGCAGTGGAGAATTAATCTTTATTTGGTTTCCTTCTTCCTCGTCGGAACACGTATGCTTGAAACACGAAGAATGACATATTCTAGAGTTAGGAACAGAATTTAAATTTGCAAGCTCTTTTCTTGCACAAGAACAATGATTCATGACTGATCCATTCTTATCCGAGGATACATAATCATCTTTTGTCAATGGACTACTGAGATCGCTATAAACAATTTCTTTGGAGTTTTTAGGTGACAGTACTGTTATAACAGATGTAACTAGTGCATTATTTTCTTCGTTCTTGTAAAGTGTACTAAATTTTTGGGCCGCCTGTGTTCCTATCGTATTAGACGATAATTCTTCAATAATTTCAGTTACATCATCAGGATCACCGGTTACTTTGATAACAAACTTAGCTGTTCCAGTTTCTGTGTCATTTTCTTTACTTCCACCATTTATTCTCTCTGGGGACAAGGATAATTTATTTCTAACTTCCGTTTCCTGTTCCATAGTGTCAGATAACTCGCTATTGCTTGAGGAATTAATATCTTGATCAGAGGTACTTCTAATTGATTTTTTTATTGATCTCATTATTTCCTCTCTAGTTTTTCTTTTACGTTTCATTGCTGCTCTTATATTTGGTATTACATGTACTTCATCTTTCGTAAAATTCTCTTCTATATCAACATTCTCCTCTGTGTCTTTCAACAATTTTTTGTCGTTTTTCATAGAGATTACTTCATCAGACCCCAAAGCATTATTATCGATTTTAGCAATTTTCGATGTGACTTGAGATGCTGACAATTTTTCGTCTCCACTTTCTGTTCCAAAAATGATTTCAACATTTTTTTCCTTAGGAGTAAATACACGTCCACCCTCGTTGTTGGCTGGGAAATCATGATTTGTATTAGGAGGTGAAGAAACTTTACGTTCGTCATTATTAAGTTCATGATTTTTATCTATCATTTCTTCATTTTCATTCTCCTTGCAGTCTTTAATCATTGCTTTTTTTCCTTTATTCTTATAGTTTTCATCTTCTGTAGATCCACCATCACAGATCTGTTTTAATTTTTCTTCTATTTCATCATAACTATCCTCAAATTCAACATGATCCACAACTTCTAATTTAATTTCTTCTTTCACTATAACAGTTGGTATTTGAAAAGTTTCGGCCTTATTAACCATCAAAGACAATTCAACTTCTTTCTTATCATCATTTAAGCGTACTTCAGGATTATCTTGCTTTGCTAGATCACTAGCATCAGCAAGATTATCTTCTGAAATCATTTTGATATTTTCTTGCTGAAGAACAATTTCAGTACTTTTTCCTCCCTCTTGCTTTTCCACTCTTTCTGTGCATCTATTCATGGATTCAAAGTTGGTTTTAACAGATTGCACAGATGGTTCCTCAATATTTTGAAAATTTAAATTTTTTTCTTCTAAATGTTCTATAGTTAAATCCCCAATATCATTTTCCATATATTTTATATTATATTCACTTTGCTTTTCCTCTGTATTATTAAATATTTTAATTCTTTTCTTAGGAGATTTTCTGGTGGATGTTACAGTAAATATAGAAGGAACTGCATTTTTTTTCAATCTGATTCTTCCACTTTGTGTTATAGACCACTCCTGAGGTTGAAAGTGTACATGACAAAGGAATGAATTATTTGATGGTTCCCAATCAGCTCTAGCAACGCGTTCTTGCCAAATTTTTCTAAGATTTGGATTACGGGGAAAACATTTCATAATATAACCCTTTTCACTACGATTGTTGCAGCCAACTGCTGCACAACCTGGCATATTTAAACATCCAGAAATTGTTAAGGATTCTGCAACAATAAATTGATGGTACAGAAACATTAAAAAATAATTAAACCAATTTTTCTAACGTATACTATCTAGTTAATAAAATACCTTTCTTTTGGTGTGGATATTAGTGTTCTTAAGTTAAATAATTCAGTGGTAAACATTGTAAAAATCATACTATCTAAGTAATAGGTTACGTTACGTTTTATTAACGAATAAAATATGAAACTATTCCGGTATATTTTTAATATGTTGACATTTTAATGCAAAATACTTCTTGCACGTTATTCATATATATTTCTTCTATCGGCAGCGTATGTTATGAAAGAAGTCGAAACTCGCTCACTACATCCACAAACTTTATTCAAAGCTCATTTAAGAAAATGTATAGCTCTATATGTATGAATATTCTTCATGGCTTATACTTGATCAGTATTCACATACATTTATGAGATTTAATAAGAAAAATTAAGAATTAAGACTCACAAATTATGTATCTTTTGTTACATTGTCATTAGCAAATCTCTAAACGAATTTCAACCTCTCTATTCAATCAGAATGTCTTAATTTTTCATTACAAAACGATAAGGATGACATCTAGGTAGCGACCGTTTCTTTTGAAGATAATGGCGAATACATATTAAGCGTTTGATTTGCTCTTTATGCTCCGTTCTCTTGTAAAACTGAATCCCTGTTACTAATAAGCTTCCAACCTGACGTTTGAATCACAAAATAAATATGGTACTGAGCGGCATGTAGTTTAAGATGTATATTGTGTCTGTCATAAATTTGGCCTACGTTATCAAAATGTAATAATTTAATTTATGAACAGTGAGGAACAAATATTTTAACAAAATGGCAACTTTAAATAACGTGTTAAAAGCTATAGAAGCTTTAAAGTCTACTCAGGAATCAAATAATGTTTTGTCAGATTTGAATACAAGGTATACCAATAAATTGTTCTTTTTATTTAATAACGATTAAACAGTTTACAAGTTGTACATTCAGTATATCCAACAATTCAATGTGTTTTCTTTTTCAATCTCAGGAAAGATAAATTAGCATGTTGCATGACAATAGCAGAAGGAATGTGTTCTCCAAGTGTCAAACTAGCATCCAAATTTCCTCAAATTCTTAGTCTTTCAATTGAAACGTTATTAAAATTGTGTAATGATGATGAATCTGATGTCAGGATGGTAGCAGATGAAACCTTGAATAAGATTATAAGGGTATAGATTTTATATTTTATCATTTTTGATAGCAGTTATAATGATGTTACTAATGTTTTGCCTAATAGTTTTTTTTATTCATTAGGCAATGGCTGACAGTAATGTTGTTAAGGTACAAATAGAACTTTATAATGAAATAAAAAGGAATGGACCAGCTAGAACGCTAAGAGCTGCTCTCTGGAGGTTTGGACTTCTTAGCCATATGATTCGCCCTACAAGAGGAAAAGCATATGTTTCTAACTTAATACCATGCATAATCTGTATTGCTCGTCGTTCTGAAGAATCTGTAATTGAAACATTATCACAATCATTGCCATTGATTATGAAAGCATTAGGGCCATTTATGACAGATAATGATGTGAAGGTAATGAATAATAATTAATAATATAGCTATAAGCTGATATTTATATTCTTGTAGACATTGTTGAAAGCATTTTTTGGAAATGTATCTTCAGTACAAGCAGCTTTCCGTAGAGCTGCTGCAAACATGATTCTTGCAACATGTCTGAATTGTCGTAAGCCACAATTCTTTTTAAATTATGTACTGAAACATCTTTTAGGTATATATTTCTTAAATGTTGTGCAAGTACAGTTAAAGTACTTTTTTAATTAAATATTATCTAATCATAGGTGTTATAGTCCCTATAAGCGAAGATGAGGGTCGCGTAGCGGCTATTATTGGTACATTTGGATGCATAAGAATAATTTTACCACATCTATGTAAACCCTCAGAACTTGAAGATGATGATTCAGTACAAACAGATAGCTTGTTACAAGTTTATGAACTATGTTTACATTATACAAAATGGCACTTTGATCATAATGTTATAAATGCTGTTTTAGAAACTTTAACTCAGCTTTTAAAATCACCTCCAAAAGCTTTGGTATCCGTATTGTTATCCAAACAAGGTATATCGCATAGCAGAATAGCGTTAAATCAAGATGAAACTGTATTATCATTAAGCCAAATGAGTACTTCTAGTACTACTATAGCTTGTGGAGAAAATCCCGAATTTAATTTACATTTACTTGATTCTGATATTCCCGAGATAAATCCAAAGATAGAAAAATGGATATTAGATTCTGAAACTGTACCTCCATTGGCACAAAATTCACAAACCCAAAAGGAATGTTCAAATAATATTATAGAAATGAAAGGAAAAATTTTGGAAAATTACAGTGGCTTGAAGATTGGAGTTATCGATAGTAAGATAAAAATATAAAATGTACGGAATATCTTGATGAAAGTCATTTATTTATGATCATTTCTATTTTAGACGAAGCCATCGAAGAAGGCAGTGACGTAGGAAGTGAAATAGGGAAATCAGAGAAAATTTATTCAAGTTTACAAAACGAAGCGAAGGAAGTAGATTGTTCAGAAGAAATTGCTTCGTCTATTGCGTCTCCTAAAAAACTTTCTTTGGATTTCTCGCAAAGAGAAATTGACGTCGGAAGTTTTACAGATTCCGACATACCTTTAAAATTTTGTTGTCGTTATTTGGTATCATCTTTTCTCTTAACCGGCTATGCTGGTCGTGTAATGCCAGATAAATATTTTCGTGTTAGTGTAAAATCTCTTGCTTTAAATTGCGTCGCTTATATCTTAAAACTTTGCCCAAATTTGTTTTTAATTCCTGTTGCTAAAGAATCAAAATCTATCGAAAATGAACAAATGATAACAGATATCTTATTGTTTGCAAATCATTCAGATCCTCAAATTAGGGGTAATATATCAATTATTATTGGTACATTTTTAAAATCCGTGTATACTCAGTATGGTGGATCTTTTAACAGTTTTGAAAAAGACATTTCGAATAAGAAAGTACATGAAGTCATCTCATTAGATAATTTAATTAAACTACTTTTAAAGGTAAATTTTTTATATCGTGACATACAAGAATTTATAATATATATCATTATAAAGAAGCTTTTATTCATATATTGTTTTACAAAACAGGGATTAGAAGATGATTCTGCTACTACCTGTCGACAAACGCTTACAGCATTTAGTTTGTGTCTGCCAGAGTTGCTTGAATCTGTCGACAATAAACACGGAATTACCGTGTTAACTGCATTACCTCAACTAGTAAAAAATCCATATTTTCTCGTAAAAATTAAATTAGTAGAACTATTGAGTGAGATATCGTACGTTACTATAGAACATATAACTGGTGGATCAATGTTCCAAGAACATTTTATCGATGTTATTATGACGCTATTAGGTGATCAAGATCAAAGAATTAGACACGCAGCATCAGATGCTATTGTCAAGTAAGATTCATTAAAATTTTCATAATTCAAAACGTTAAGTCTTGCTTCCTTTAAATAACATTTGCCTTTTTTTTAGGAGTGTTCCTTTATTATATTTTCAACAGCCTCAGGAAGATGTTGTCACAAGAAAAGCTGTGCAATACACCGAACAATTTTTAAGTGCTGTGAGCAAAAGCTCTGTAGAATTATCTTCTTGTCAGGAGAAACAAAAGTTGTTTCTAAATACTTCTATGCAACCATTTGCATCTTTAAATTCTAGTAATGCAGCGAATTATCGTCCGAACGTAGAATACTCTTTATCCGTTATAGTGAACATGTTGGCTGAGATTCTGGGAGTACAGTCATCAAAGTATTTAGTGTACGGTTGTTGCGAAGCTCTGTACCATTTGAGCGATGTATACACTACTACAGTGTACATTAGGGGATGGGATTGTATTTCACCAAAGACATTGTTAAAAAGGTCCCACAAAAAGAGCGGCAGTCGACTAGATATTAGCGAATCAACATTCGCAAGTGACGCGATACCATCAACCGTTAGCAATAGTCTTTTATCTTTAGCTTTACCCTTGCTGTCGTCGTCTCCTATAAGTTTGGATTTGTCGACGCATAAACATTTGATTCTTCTAGCTGGGAATCTCGCATCAGGTCTAGCTTTTTGCAATTTCAAACCTAACGATCCAACTAAAACATGGGGTACATTCAAGGATAAACAAATAGAATTGTTACTAGTGCACGTTACAAGAGTATTAAACATATTTGTTCATATAATCGAGGATGTACAATTGACGCAAAGCAGTACAAAAACAATATTGCCATCTTCGTCAACCACGCAAACGTTATCCCCGAAGAAGAAGATAACGATTATTGAATCGAAATCGAAAGAAAAGGGGGAGAAGATCGGAAGTTTGAAATTTGGAAAAGAGCAAATGGGAACGTTTACGTTGATACCTCATTACATGAGAATGTACGAAATCCTTAAAGCAGCCCACTTAAATTACTTAGCCACTCTCGAGCCGCATGCAAGTGAAATGTATTTGTCTTTGTTGAATGCAATCTTAGATGTGCTCTCGCAAATTCTTGAAATTATATCTCTCAACGAAGTAGCCCAAATCGCAGAAGAGATTTTGTATTATCTACAGAGTACCGTGGTACTCTCACCAACCGCGACAGTTCAGTGCGTTCAGCAATTGTTGAAATGTTTATTCAGTACGAACGTATGTGCGCAATGGAACGAGTTAGATGTGCAGAAAAACACGGATAAAATGATTCTGTTTCGAGACGATCTTAGAGGATTTTACAATCATTGCTTTCAAAATCCTGCGAGACAGATGGCAGATACAATCAAGTCTATGGGTAACAATTGCAGAGGTGAAAATGAACCGGAAACTGGGTGAGTTTCTGTTCCCTAACATCGATCTAAACTATTACAGTTTGTTCAGTAGAGTTCTTTTATTTCAGATGGGTGGGACTGCTTCGTAGGAAAGGTGATAGAAAATTTTCTTCGGTCTTCAAAAATTTAGCCCATTCATCCGACCAGAAAACTTCAGTAGCCTCGTTCATTCGTCTTTTTGAGCCGATGGTCATTAAATCTTTGAAACAGTACACCGTAACGAGTAGCGTGTCGTTACAGTGTCAAGTGTTGATGCTACTTAGTCAGCTAGTCCAACTGAGAGTTAATTACTGCTTGTTGGACTCTGACAGAATATTCATTGGATTTGTACTAAAGCAATTTGAGTTTATCGAAGAAGGTCACGTACAACAGACGGAGAACCTTTTACCAAAGATCTTCAATTTCTTGGTGCATCTGTCGTACGAAAAGAATCATTCAAAAACCATAATAGGAGTTCCAAAAATAATTCAACTCTGCGACGGTCTGATGGCGAGTGGTCAAGCAGCGCTTACCCATTGTATTCCAGCTTTAGCTCCGGTGGTCGAGGATGTCTTTCTGATACGAAACGCAAGTTCGAGCCCGATAGAACAGAGAGAATTGGAGACAACGAGAGAAGTTTTAATCTCGATGCTTTTACGACTGGTGGAGTATTATCAAATCATCGAACTGCTCGCATTGTGCTTGACGGAGTCTAGATTTAGCGGTGACGGTAACGGCGAAGAAAAGTGGAGAAGATGGTCCAGATCGACAATGGATTCCGTCCTGCCCATGTTAGCGTCTGGAAAAATTCGAATAGAGTCAGAGAAAGCTCACGTAGCTTTGGTTAAACTATTCGCAGCTATTTCCCCTACAGTCTTCAGGCCAGTTGATCCTCTTCTAAAGGTACTTTTAGTTACACCCGATTCATTGGAAGCTTCCACCTTGAAGTTGAAACGATGGCTAGGAATGGTTAACGTGGTCTTACTATCTTTGATTGCCTGCGCTAAAGAGGAGGCAATGCTAGCACGACTCTCCGACCTGAGCGCAAATATGGCCGAGTTATCACAGTCGTTTCTTCTTGCAGAATCCTCTTCACGGACTATGGATCCTCTGCACGTTTTAGGCTTCCAATCTGACCAGGTTCCGCCCGAAAAGATACTAGCTAGATTCATATTCAAAGTGATCAGCTTGACAGGTTCGAAGGTTTACGATCTCCTTGGACTGATTGATCATAAACGTAAAGATCCATACGTCGGTTTCTCCGAGTCTATAGAGAACGACTACTATTTGGTCCATCAATTGGCGTTCTTTCTTCAATTGTGCATTCACATGTTCGAATCTGGAAGTCACTGCAAAGTTGCAAACGCGGCTATACAAATGATTCAAGGCCGAAATGTCCCTGAAGAAGAGAAGCTACCAATCGGTGATTTAAATTACTTGATGCTCAACATTGGACACAGGTGCCCGACGTTGACTTGTCAGTGGGCTTATCTAATGATTCTGTTAGGATACAACGAGATGACTTTTTGGTCAAAGATATTGGGCACTCGTCGTTCGGAGTATGCGGTCCACTGTTCCTCTACCGACCAGAAGAACTGTTCTAGCGACCATGCCACTAGTATTAACATTCAGATCATCAGAAAAGGTGGCATTATATTATTCTGCGATTACGTTTGCGAGAACTTGAGCGACGCCGAGCCACTGACGTGGCTGTTGGTGAACCACACCGTGGAAACGGTGAACAATGCCATCGAATCTCCCGTCAGAGATCTACTAACAGCGGCTATCCACAGAAATCCAGCGGCCAGTGGATTGTTGGTGCAAGCGATCGCTACAAAGTGTACGGATCTATCTCAACCTAGTTTCGTCAAACGATTGTTGCAGTGCATCGAAGGTGCCCATCATTCGCAAAGCGGAGCAGTTCTATTTACGTTGATACCAAGATTACTGTCCACGAAGTATCTAGCTCTGTCCAGAATGGCAGCAAAAATAGCCAGTCGAAGGGTAGAAATTTTGCTGACCTCTTCTGCCGTGGACGTGACGAAGCAGCTTTCGAAAGACGATTTTGCGAAGATCATGGAGATCCTACAGTCGACTAGGCTCGCCAAGAAACACGGAGGATTGGTCAGTCTACTGAACAAATTAGGCGTACAATATTACGATCTCTCTCCTCTGGAGCTCGATCAGTGTAGACCATTTAATCCATCCACAGTGAAGAGTATTCAACTGGATCGAAATTGGTTCTTGTCTCAGGTGAAATTGCGATGTTGCAATCCGATTGCCAGTTATAATCCATCGGAGACGGCGCAGTTGTTAAAGGACTTGGATTTCGAAGATTCTCTCAGTATTCTCTCTTCGAAGGAATTCAATATCACGATCTTGAAAGCGTGTATAATATTAGGCGTACGAACGAGCGTTGAAAAGTGCCAAAAATTAGAATTCGGTGTAAAGCAGAACGAGAAGGACTTTAATTTCGAGACCAGCCCCCTGTACGGTGCTGCGAAGCAACGTTTATTAGAACACGTTCGCTACGTCACCGAATTAATGCCAAAACCTCATCAAGTTTACGATCCTGGCCAGCCAAATGCCAATTCGAAGGGGTTGAAGTACTCGATTCGACTCGACGAGCTTCTAAACGAACCCATTTACTGGGATATACTTTTCATGTTGATACCAGCCGTAAGGGTGTACGTAAAAACCTTGGCTAAGCTGGTGAAATACAATTTGGCGAAGATAGACAGGAAGTCTGAAGAGGATCTCGCGAAATTCGCGATTTTGTGTTTGGAATTGACCCACTGGATGTTGCATTGCGACGAGATCAGCGCGAGAAAGCTTAGACCTAAGGACATGGAGGTGGCTTTAAGCTGCGCCTCGGAGATCATGAAACATCCTGGCCCGGATAAAATCTTCTGGGACAACAGCAAGTATTCGTGGGTTTGTAGCGCTGCTGCTTCGTTAACCAGGACGGTGAAACATCTGCTAACGATGATAGACGGTTTGCCGATCATAGATTCCCGCGCTTTAGAGCCAGCATTCGAGGACGAAGGTAGCAAAGATTTTGCTCGCGCTTGCTTTAGAATGGCAGCGCTGGTTGCCTGGTTAGAACAGTGTCAAAGCGAGGGATCGTCGAAAAATATTCCTCGTTATTTGTTCAACACGATACAAGATTTAATTGTAAGCGTAAGCCGGCAACCGCTGGTCAATTCTTACGTTTTAACACCACCGCTGGTTTGGAAGCATAATTGGAACGTGGTGGGTTCTGGTCCAACCAAGTGTTTCTTCCCGTTGTTGCCGTCCGAGTCGAATTTCTTACAGGAGGTGGAGATCCTCGAGCAGTTCATTTACCGAATAAACCTGCTGGGATGGATATCTCGGTTGCAATTCGAGGAGATATGGATGGCGCTGTTGGGAGTGCTAAATCTTTTGCAGAACGAAAGTCTGCAATCCGAGGAGATCCCAGCGTTGATCCAAGCGAGTAGCCTGGCTGTGCAAGCCATCACGAGATTACTGTTGCAAACTTTGCTTCTTCCCTACCCTGGTAATCCAAGAGCTAGTACTTTGATCCATCATCCCAGGGATCCTCAGCTTTCTGTTCATAAAATAAGCTCGCAAAAGTTGTACGCGATTCAGGACCTGCTCGCGTGGAAATACGAATGTATGAACGACTCGGAGACGGTCGGTTCTCTCAGCATGGATCACATCTTTTGTCGAGGAAACGTGGAACGAGTTGCAAGCTCGAACAAATACGCTTACAGTCAGCTTTCAGTTCCTTATCTATGGTCCTCGTGTAACCTGTACGAAGACAAGCTGAACGCCTCTGTCCTCGACTTGAAGAACAGACGAAACGACGCGTTGATGTCCGCCTCGCTCGATCTAGATTCCTGTCTTCGTTTCTTGGTAGAGCTTTACACATCCTGGATGTCCCCGCAAGCAAATACACCTATACAATTGCTCACCGAAGTCGTCAAGTCTATTCTAGCGATTTCAGAACTGTTCGTGGAGAGAGGTCAGTATCAATGGATGCTGGACACCTGCTTGGAGATGTCCAGGATTCATCCTACTGAAAATGTGATTCTACATCAGTACTTGGTGGTATCTGTGTGCAAGGCTGCTGCTGTGCTAACACCATTAGTACGTAATTTGTCTTTAATTAAGTAAATTGATGTTTAAGAATCAATTATAACTCTTCTTCTGTTTTTAAGGACTTTGAAACATTGGACAAAGTGAAACGTTTGGTAGATCTAAATCTTAAGTCAGGTTTCTTACCAGCAAGAGTATCCGCTCTTCATGGGTCATTATATTTGTTGCAAAGCGCTGTGCTTGCTAATTGCGAGGAAACGATGAACATCATACACCCTTTGGCAATTGAATACATACAGAAGCATCTGGATGCTCAAGATTCGAATGGGTGTGATATTCAAACTTCCATCACAAATTTTTTTTCTTTTTCTTTCTTTTATTAACAACTGTTTCTTGAATCAAGGGTGTTGAATCAAAGCGAAGAGCACCAAGGAGTGATGTGGGCCCTGGTGTTCTTCCTGCTGGAACACGCAGAGGACACTCCACCGGACAGTGAGGCTCCAGCCGTTCTTGAACTGGTTCTCACTTTACTCTCCTCCCAAAATATCTCCTCCAGCTTGCATCAAACGCTTTTACAGGTATCCTATTTATTTATCGAGAGTCTATTCATTTATATTTAATTACGTAATTGTGATACGTTCGACAGGGCCTCGAACGACTCGTGGCGACGAAAAGCGTGGTCGGAAAAGTCGCCGAGCAAATAGTTAAGGTTGCGATAGATCGTTTGAAACAACCAAGTCCTGTGTTGTCGATACCCGCGTTACAATTGTTGCTGACTTGCATGTACACGGAAGCAGCCGACAGATTGAATCAACCAGAAGTAGAGGAACCATTACCAGACGCTGAACCAGAAGCATTGGTTCGATCGATAGAACGAACTTCCGCGATTTTTGACAAGATCAGGCGGGGACACTCGATGGAGGTGGAACTTTTGTGCACGGTTCTGTCCGGTGTGCTTGGAGATTTCTTCCCGCCGTCTGAAATTTTAACCAAAGTCATAGGAGAATTTCTATCTCCTCAACAGCCTCATCCGCGGCTACTTTCTGCTGTGGTTTTTAAAGTTCGTACATTCCATATGGAAACGGGAAGACCGTTGAATCGTTAAATATTCGTATATAATTGCTTTTTGTAGGTTTGCGAAAGAGCGTGTACTTGCGCTCAAATGGAATTGCTTCAAGACTGGGTCGTGTTCAGTCTGCCAAATTTTATTCAAAGTTTACCAGTGACGATGTCAACCTGGTGTTTGTCTTGCTTCTTTATCAGCTCCTCAACGAATCATTGGCTGAGAGCCTTGTATCCTTTCTAGTTATAAATCATTTTCAATTATTTCATTTGTTTGCTGAAAATTTCCTTAACGCGTTCTAATCAGATTTCCGTATGTTCAATCAAGAATCGGTAAATACGAATACGAGGATAAAAAAATACTCTGCATCGCTGCTTCTGATTTTTATCACAAGGTATAAGAGTGTTTCGAGAATAAGGTTGACAATTGTTGAACAAACTTCACGATATTAATAGGATATTTTTATTTTTTATCAGTTAGCTAAAGAAACTCAAAGGAAAGCTTTCGTGGAAACATTTGAAGCAGCAGCAAAGGAACCTGGAACTCCATTTGGTGACATTTTAGCGTCCTTTTAGCTAGTCTTACGATTGATCGTCTCGATCCAAGAAAGTTGAATCAAAACTAGAGGTATTCGTCGAAACGATACATCTAATTCCCCTTGTAAAATCGATGTACAATCATAACACGGTCGTGACGTGTCGCGTGTACAGTGTATGTATGTGATGATATTTATTTTACCTCCTGTCCCGTCGAGAAGAACTTGTTTTGCAATAAACAATATTTTTTAAATACTCCTTTTATCATGTATTTCGAACATTTCTGTCTTGTACATTTTTCAGATTATTAGGATAAATTAATCGTTTTACTTCTTTTATGCTTCCTTCTCATCTGTTTTATATAAAAATAGATGTGAAATGTAGCGTAATAAAAGATTTCGACGAAAGATAATACGCTAGCTCCAAGATACAATCCTGCAGCTCCGCCCACGCCAGCTAGAATACATTTATTCCTTTCATTCTAATAAGGTATACATATATTGTTTCTTATTATATTCATAAATACGTACTTAAAAAATCAGAGAATCCATAGAACAACAGTCGATTGTAAATTACTTGAGGAAATTCGATGATCAAAGTTATAATTGATAAATTTGTCGGTGTGTCGGATCTAAAATGATCAAATAATTATTTTATTTATCTATTTCATAAGAATTCATTTTTGATACATTACAATTCGCTTATTTCAGTGCTTCTGATCAGATAAAAGCCGATATTGCATTTCGGAAGGCAGTCGCAAGAAAGAGGTGGATATTTGTATAGGAAAAGGTGCCTCGTTATACCACCGATGCATCGAAGTTGGGTAGCATTGCAAGTATTCACACCTTCTACAAAAGAATTCTTTTATTTTTCTTTTATTATTCGTGTAACGATTGATTAATCGAATACCTTGGGGTCTAGCAAAGTGTGGACGACATTTACAACGATGCTGTATCACGTTCATCCTGCACTCGATCGTGCACCTGTTCATCGTGTATATTGGCCACGTTTTCAAGCCACCATCGCTGTAGAATTTGCATTTTCTTTGATGGATATGAAGTTCTCTAACGTTTGGCATCGTCCTGATCCCGGATATCGACAGGGTCGCCCGTTGCAACACTTTTGATCGTATCCATTTCATTGGAGTGTTATACGTTATTATTTCTAAAGGATCACACGCACCGAACTGGTACAAGAAATTTGATGAGGATAAAAGGAGAGTATAAGTTATCTTTCAACGAAGTAGAAACGCGATCATACCAAGGCTGTATTTTCTACAGCAATAGATTCTTGAGTTCCATCATCGTTACCGTCGTAATGCGGCAGCTTCTCTGATTGAATAGGCAGGGTAACAATGCTTTCGTTGTTGGTTTTCCAATACCTTGTAAAAGAAGTATAAAGAGAATTGCATCTGTGCTAATAATGAATCAAATGAATCTTTACAGAACGAAATTTAAGCAAATACCAACTCTAGGGTAGCGTAACCGCTGAAGATGCTTCTAGTGGCTAAACACAAGCCTCTTTCTGTTATCACCCAGTTCTCGTAACGATCGTTTTCCTTGAGGATATTAGAAGGAAAATCCTTTCGTAAATCGTGAAGAATCTCCAACCATTTGTCCGAGGGAACTTTATCGAACAGAGGTGTCTGCGACATGTTCTCGTAATTCACGTTGGCCAGAAAGGTGAAGAAGTGTATCGCTTCCGGAGTGTTCTCGATGCCGTATCTATACGAACAAGAGACGTGGTAATTTCGAAAAATTCATTCAAGTACATAAAATCTTACTTTTCAAATACTCCTGGAATCTTGCTTTCTTCTATATTCGGCACTGGACAAATAAACAGGGCCGGCTTTTGGGGCTTAAATTGTTCACGATTGTTATCCACCACGATTACTGTTGCATTATTTTGGTATCGTTCCCAGAAGATGATCGACAAGAAGATTAAAAACAGCAGGGCAGCGAGGATGAAAAGCACAGCTAAAACTCTTCCAAGAAATGTTACAGGATTATTTCGATCGTCAGAGTGTGTTAATGTTATCTTAATTATGAGATTGATTTGTATATACTTCTCGACTGGATGTCGATTCGGTGCCACCAAGTGATTCAAACCGTGTATAGAAGAGATGCTCGCGAATTCTACAAAGTACTTTCCGGTATCGGACTTTGCATTAATAGTTTGCATGCCAACGTGATTCGGAACGTCGGTTGGCACAGATTCCTTTTCCTTAAGTATCGCCTTTTCACGAGCTTGAAAGTCTGCCAATATCTCATTGCCGTAAAAGCGTTTTTCTTCCTTCGCGATCGATTTCGTTGGGTTCACCGATATCTTTGGCATATTGCTTCTTCCTCGAGCAATGCGTTATTAAAAAAGAGTTTTCCACTGTTGACTCGGAATTTTCGTCGATCAAAATCGCGAGAAATCAGTGCACGCGATTATTAATTATGAATAAACCGGCAAGTAGAATAGATCGGAACGGATAATTCGTAATAACACGAATTTATTTATTTATTTATTATAATGAATAAAATATTTCTTCCAGTGAGCTACGTTATAATTTTCTCGCATGTTATATGAAATTAACGTTCGAAATTTCAATGCTTGCTGCGATATCGATTGACGAAAGCAAAAAAGAAATGAAAGAAACAGCACCAGTCAGATTTAAATCTTTTCGTCTTTTCCTTTTAGCGATTCTCTTCGATGGAAGCGAAACATCGAACAAGATAGCCGAACTTATTATGAACGAAGGTGAATTCGGCTTGACGGAGTTCCGGATTGTCCGGGATGAACAGTGGAAATTCCACGGAAGTATCTGAAGACACCGATGCAGGGGCACGGCACGAGTTAGAATTGGTTAATTTCCGATTAATTCTACTTCTGTTTTACATATTTATCGTACTATACACGGTGAAGAGAGGACACGGGAGGATGGGAAGTAATATGTAAGAAACGATACGAATGCTATTGCAGGAAACAAAGGGAAGATATGGGACATTGAAGTATCGTGGTTGTCGTCAAAGACATCCGGAAGAACGTCGATCCTACCACGATGTAGTGTCCAGCGAGTGTTGTTGCGATCACAGACGGAGGCTGGAGTTACAGGAGCTTGAGAGGGAACCGAGAAGAAGAACGAAAAGTCAGGTGCGACGTTACGTACCCTGTAATTACCCGCACGAAGCTTGGAAACACTTGATAGAAAGGAGCAAGTAATAGAATACGCGTTTGATTATACTTACACACAACATTCTACAGGGTGTTCGACAACAGGTGGACAAAATTTTAAGGGGTGATTCTAGGGATCAAAATAAGAATAACGAAATAGCTTTTGCGGCTTTGTTTTCCAATAATTAACATTTAAACATTCGAGTAAATAGCGCCTGAAACCTGCAACCTGCTGACCTGACGTTCACTCGTTGGTGCTTGGCGGGTTGCAGATTTCAGGCGCTTTTTACTCGAATTTTTAAACGTTAATTACTGGAAAACAAAGCCGCAAATGCTATTTCGTTATTCTTGATTTTCGTCTTATTTTGATCCCTAGAATCACCCCTTAAAATTTTGCCCACCTGATGTCGAACATCCTGTATATCTGGTAGCAAACTCAAACAGTAGACCGCTTCTGAATTTCAGTTACCCCAACAGTATGAACGATGCGTTAAACAATTACGAACACTATCTGACAAATTTTACGAACCGAACGCCCAAGAAGTCGCAACACTTGTATCCCTGCAATCCTCATCTGAGGAAAAGGCAAATAAGCGTGCATCGACGTCCGCGTAGAAACGAACACGATCAAGTGACGTTGTCCATCATGAGAAACCCCATTGATTCCGACGGGGAAGCCAGACCCTGTTGGGAGTACGAACACCCGGTGAAAAATATACACAGCAGGGACGTCGAGGAGATCGCTGAACAATCGAACGATCCAAAGAATTATCAGGTAACCGTCGAGCGATCGAGGTAGCAATTTTCATGCTCAATTCAACTAATTCGTTCGTGAAACAGATGACGAGAATTTTAGGGAATCTAAATGTAACGAAGCACGTTCTGGAAAATTGTACCCAGCAGAAGAAGGAACGAGCGTTGAGACCAGAAGCGTGGATATCGAAGCAGGGCGTTGACAAGGCGAGTAAATTGGACGCGAACGGGAGGAAGCCATTGAGCGACGATGAGGATCGCGATTTCTGCCGAGGCAAATTGAGATTCGATCTACCGGACTGCGAGAACGTCGAGGAGGATCGAGAGAATCAGACGAAAAGGAAACCCAACGCTTTACCGAATAAACCTTTCGCGATGAAAGGGAATTTGAAGAACAGCAGCCTGCAGAACTTGCCAAGGAACAAGAACATCGACGACTTGGTACATTTTTCATTCGTTCCTTTTCGATCGTACTTCCTGCTACGCGTATCCTCTAAATATTCTTCAAGTTTAAACAGAAAAATCTGACGATCGAGCGTTCGCAAGAGGAGGCCGCGCATAAAGAGACGGAGGATCGATGTGCGAACAAGCCGCGCAAACAACCAAACGTTCGACAGAGTTGCAGGCTCAGCGAGGAACTAGCTTGCAGTAACAGGAAAGAAGGCAGAGAAGGTGCGCCGTACGACTTAATGGCAAAGGATGAAGAGGAAGAAGAAAATTCGATTAAGAAGAACATTTACGCCGGCGGAGACCTCGAACTTCACGCCACCAAAAGTCACATTCTTGGTTTAATCGACAGAGCAATCAGCAACGAATTTGGCAATTTGTCCGATCAGCAACAGGTTCTTTGATGTTTAAAAATGTACGAGTAGACAGGTATCTTAACGATTCGTTTTCTTCCTTCGTTTTTCAGAGTCTGGATTCGAATCGAGGATTAACCGGACAAGAAATCTGCATAGAGATAATGCGTGTACTGCAAAGTAATTGTTGTCCGTCGTTGGCAGAGGATACGTTGGCTCATCGTGAATCGTCGGCCGATTGCATAAAACTGTTAAAGATGCTTCGTTGGGATCACATGACTCATATACAGGAGGAGTTCCGAAAGCTGTGCAGTCTGCAAAAATTTTTGGATACCTATTCGCCGAGACAAACGTTGCCTGTGTTTCAATCGTATCCGGTGGCGGTCGAACAGCAACGACCCGAGGAACGACAGCAACCCCAGCATGAAGAGAAACAGAACTCTGGAACGATTTAGTACCAGATACAGTTAGGTTTTCTATTTTCTCTATTGTTTGCTAATCTATTTTCCGTCGGAACGTATTTTTTGGATCGAATTATATAGGGCTGGGTCGTTAATAAAACGCATTCGGCATAGAATAAAATAAATATATATTTTTCTAATACAAACGAATAAATACTAACTCTCGGAGCGTTGGAATATTTGCAGTTTGATGGACGCGATTTTGTTCTATTTAAAAAACCTGTGTGTCGCACATGGAAATATTTATTTCTCTAAATCGGTGTCTCTATTATTAAAATCAAGTTATTTATTATAAAATAGGAATAGTAACTCCTATCAATTTACGTTTTCACGAATAAGTGTTTTGTATAAAATATTCTTAGGTCGACGATTAAAATCTCGTGTTATCCGGCATTTTCACGAAATAAGCGACCTTGTCTTCCGCTACTCTGTAATTGTGGATCCATCTGGATCCTTTCCTCAGACTCCCATCGATCCCGTCTCTCCATACACCAGCTGGTAGATAAACCTCTCTCTGTCTGCTCCCAGAATAGAGTACCGGCGCTACGATAAGCTCTTCGCCAACCGAGAATTCATCCACGACCACGTGGCAGGCTGGATCGGCTGGATCCAGCATCCAAAGTGGTCTGATTATCGGCAGACCGGTGTCCAGCGTTTCCTTCGCGTATTTCTTCAACAACGGCGTCACAGTTTTCTGCCTGAGGGTTGTCAGCCTCTTGGCTATCTCTAACACAGACTCGTCCGAATACTTGCTGGGTAGATGAGTGAAACGTATCACCGGTAGGAAGGTGGATAACTGCAGCCATCTGACGTACAATTCCTTGTCCGGTAGGCTCACTTCGAAATCGTTGTCGGGATTGTTGTCCGACATGGGCAACGCTACGTCTCCGCCAACGGCACCTGGCATAATAAACGGATAGCCTATCATTCCGTAAGTCAACACGGTTGGAATAACGGTTTTGATAGCTTTCCAAGACGATGAGAACGGAGGAAGAGACACGAAGACTGGGGCTCTCGGTCTGGAGATCGCTCCTGAGACACCGATCACTGGCACAGACCCGAGAATCGTTTTTGTGAATATCGTCTTGTAATGATCAGGATTAGTCAACGGTTGTTCGCACTTGTAATAGTGGGGCATGTCTTGCGCGGTACCCAGATCAAGGTAGAACGAATCCACGTGGTACTTCATGATCAAACTCTCCAATTTCGACTGAAACCAAGGCAAAGTTTTGTTGTTGGTGATGTCTAGAACGCCGACGCTGTTGCTCTGTTTGTATCTGGAAAGAAAATTACAACTTTCCTATGAAATCGTTCAGGAGGAAATAACGCTATCGAGAAGATCCGCTTTACCTGGTCAATGCAGGGATCCTGGGATCGCTTCCTCTCTCAGAAATCAACAGCCTGTTCGAAACCGCGTCCTTAAAGTTCACAGACTCCGTGGATATGAACGGCTGGATTGTGAACACGATTCTAAACCCTCGACGATGAATGATGTTGATCGTTTCCTCCATCGAGGGGAATCGTTCCTCGTCCAGCACGAAATCACCGGGATTCGGTTGCCACTCTTCGCTCAACAGAACGTGGCCTTGTCGCAAGAAGCCCAACGCTATCACATCCTCGGTATAATTATAAACAGCCCCCTCGTTGATGGGTGAAATTTGCCAGACCGGTTCGGAGAGTAACGAGTGAACGGCGTGAAGCTCGTCCGGCTTCAGTCCGTCCCACAACGACTTCTCCGCCATGGAGGAGTGTAAGTTTTTCATGTTGTCCGTCGCGCAAATAGTATAATTCAACTGTGGCAATTGCGTCAAGTGATTGATGTAGGCGAACGCGTCGTGTTTGGCCTGCAAACAAAAGTCGTTGCTTCTGTTGGCGTTGATGGACACGTAAAGAGGCGTTTCCGGGTCGACGAGTATCGTCGCCCCTTTCGAATTCAAGAAGTATCTCTTCAAAACGTTGCCAAAAGGATGCTTGATGATGTCACCGGTGATAAAAGGGCTCAAATCGAGCCGGCCACGTTCCAGTGGATAAGGCATGTTCTGTATTTGACCCGCGCCGTACCAGTGTCCTCTCTTCGGTGACCAATCGAAGCAATCTTTCGGATTATGGTAAGAATTCAGGCTCTTCCAAGTGACGTGATAACAATTCATGTCCGAGTGTTGCGTATGAGCTAGATACAAACGAGCTTGTTGAAGCCATTCCAGGCAAACCGAGTCCTGCATCTGGTGATGAGGTAAACAGGGAAAAACACCGGTGTCGGCTGGTATTCCTTCGCCTAATCGCGCTGCGATCACTTCCGCTCCGGTGTTGCTGTACACGTGCATCACCCTGACGTTTTTGTTGAATCTAAAATCAAAAGGCATTCCTCAAAAAATATCCAACGATCTACGCGATCGCTCGATTCGTTTACCTGAACTTGTCGAAATAAGCTCGTTGAAGAACGTGTTGCGTGTAATAAATGTGCGCGAAGCCCACGAGGAAAACGACGCAGAGAAAGAGTATTCCAACGAAAGCTCGAAGCCTGCAATTATACGTTGATTAACTTTCTCATTCGATCAGTTTCTCGGTGTCGAAAGAGTGCCTCCTCGTTTACCGATAGTCAGCGTTTTGCCTCTTTTTGCTGCTACGCAAAGCTTGAGGTATGGACAGCTGGAGCTTCTCCTTCAGCAGGCTGCTGATGCTATTAACGCTGGTTATCGTGGAATTTGCGCTCTGGCCACCGGTCAACTCCATCGGATCGTTCCCAAGCTTTTGATTGATCATCGGTGAAATGGCTCTGCTTTTTCTTCGAGGTGGAGCTTGCAACGGTACTCTGCAAAACATTTCTATTCGTTAGCAGGAAAATAATCAAACTTTCCTATGAAGAACATCACCCATTTCTCTGTACCTCTGCAGCGATACGGCACTGCCAACGTCGTATCTTGGAATCATTCTGTTGCTTTACACTTCGCAAACGTAATTGAACGGTGTCTCGTTGTATAAACAAATCACATGTCGTTGCATAAACGAACACTACGACGCGTGGAGAATGTGGAGGAGTGTCGATCGACGAGCGAGGTGTCAGTTAAAATCGAGCATGATTTCTTTTTTCCGTTAGAAAAAAGACAGATTCCAAGTGGCTAAATATCGGCCGACTGACACGACGAATTTCGAAGAGATTCGAAGGAACTGGTAGAGCGATAACCCTGAAGCGATACAGAGAAGGTCGAATTCGAAGATGAACCACGAGAGAGCGAACGCAACTCTGTCCGAAGATCAGTAGTACTGGTTTCGACTGGTTAGACAATAAACGTTCGGGCTCTGACGTTAACGTGTTTACGCCTCGTGTAATTTCCATTTTTTTCGGAGGAAGATCAAGATAAAGAGTTATTTATTCGTACGATTTACTGGTACTCACTTGGCCAGCTCTTCGTCGTTCGCTTCTTCCTCGGTTTCGGAGCCGAGAGGACTTCCATTGGGCGTCGAACCGCTGTTGCTGAACGTTACGCTGCTGCTGTCGTCGCTGTCCGATCTCCTGAACTTTGACACGGTTTCCTACGAAAGTGTTTCATTGAAATTACGAAAAAGAAAGATCCAGAGTTACCGTACGTATTTAACGATCGTATGAATATTATTCGACGGAAGGTTGCTGTGAAATTTCACGTTTCGAGGAGGAACGGATAACGAGACCTATCGCACCGAGCGATGTTCCAGAACTACTCTTTCACGGAGGCGTAGAATGGAAGAACACGGTGAATGCACAGGTTGACGATGGCAAACATTACGTAATCAACGAGAAATCAGGCTTTTTCACGAACGAAATGCGCGAACGAAGCGGCAGTGATACTTTAACAACGATGCTCAGTTCCGTTGATCAAAGATTAGGATCTCTTCCAGAAATATTGAAATTGTAAACGTCGCTGAAAATCATCTAATAGTATTTCTACCACTAATAACAAGTGCAAATGGCAAGGAATTTAATATTCGAATGAATATTGCAGAGGGACGAACCTCTTCTTCACCGACATGGAACTTAGACAACAACGGTTTCGTTTCGTCCGTGGTTTTCGTGGAACGAAGGTTTACTTGCATATCGAAACTCTTATCAATATCACCAGCAGCACCGGATGGAATTCAATCCCCGCGAGTATAAATTTCGAGCCAGGGTGCAGTATGGTGCAACGGATTCGACTCTGCTTTTAGTTTCTAGTTTCTTCGCGTTCAATAAATACGTGTTAATAATTGCGACGAATCGAAGTAAAGGTTGCTCTCAATTTCCTTGTTAGACGCGTACTGTCAACGATTATCCGTGATCACGGATAGAATTCGCGAGGGGAGCGAATGTTTACGCGAAAGTTCGCAATTATTGAGGAAACCAGAGTCTCTCGTCGTTCCTTCTTCGAAGAATCTCTTATCTGTCTTGTATAAAATAGAAATTACATCCTTTTTCGAACTTACCTTTGGTCTGTCGATTCGAAGTGCCTCCATTTCGTCGAGATTCGTAGGCATCGAGATACTCGTTCTTCGTAACTGCGATCCACAGAGGCTCGTTTCCTTCGTTCCGTTCTTGATTTCCTTAATTTTCTTTGTCTCCGGAACAGGTACGCTTCCATTACGTTCCGCCACGTTCGAGGCGTCTGAAAACAGGTGATTTCATTCATCTCTTCCCCCGTTGCAAAGTGGCATTATCGAAAATTTACGGTACATCGTCAGCTGTTTCAACGTCACGTCAAATTTATTTCTCTAACCCTCGTACGATGCTCGAAGTTACGATACATTTATCGCAAGAAATGAATGAAATCTAAAGAAAACAACGTTGTTGAACGGCAGAGAAATGTGCGATTGTCTTACGCATAAAGGGGACGGGGACAAAGATGTCCTGGAAACGGTGACGCTCTTCAGGAAATGCCCGAAACCGTATCATCCCGGTAAAGATATAACCAGACCGTCGAGTTGCGACTTGATTTCAGATAAAAACGATTGGATTCCAATTGATTCGTCGCAATCCGATCTCGGATACACGATCTGCGATCAGATCAAGAGGCTATCGAGCTCGAGCAGCTACACCAGTTCCTCGAAAACGGTACCAGTTCTCGTTAAATTCAAACATCTCTCAATAATTTAATCGCGAATTAAATAACATCGTTTAATGTTAGTACAAGTTCGTCAGTCCTCGAGAATGCGAGTGTTTTCGAGGAGAAGGCGAAGAGGAACCGTGCCGTGCTCCGGTGATCGCTTTCGAGCCGTGCGTCGAAGAGGAGGAAGTCGAGGAAGAACCGGACGTGGAGTGCACCCTGATGATCGTAAAACCGGAAGCGACGGTGTACAGAAAGCAAATCGAACGTCGTATATTCGAGGAAGGCTTCGAGATTCATCAAACGAGATGGCTGCAACTGACCCCGGAACAAGTGTCTGAATTTTATTCAGACAAGTACGGACAGTTGAACTTTGCGCACCTGGTCGCCTACATGGCTTCCGGTCCCATAATCGTACACGTTCTGGCGAAACGTCGAGCAGTGGAAGAATGGAGACTGCTGATGGGGCCGACAAAAGTGATTCTTCAAATTATTAAGACATCTTCTGTTAAGATCTTTCTAGTACATCTGTTGAACTCTTCAGGTTACCGAAGCTCGTTTGTACTATCCTGATAGCATAAGGGCTAAATATGGCAGGAGAGGCGCAGATTTTCAGAACGCTGTCCACGGGAGCAACTCTCGAGAAGAGGCTGAACGAGAAATTCACTTCTTCTTTCCCGAATGTACAAATCATGTATCACATCATCTCCTGTTTTATCTTTCGCTACATCATTCAATCCTTTGATTACAGTTATACTCGAGCCACTGCTGAGAAAGGAAGGAGCAGTCGATTACTTGTGGGAAACGCTCAACCCAGTCCTCGTGGAAGCTTTAGCCATGGTAAATGATTGATAAAGAAAATATTCAACGTTAATAACGAGATCTTCTAACGCAGTGTTGCAAAGTGAAGCCAGCAGACCCTGTTTTATGGCTCGCTAATTGGCTGATATCGAACAATCCTAACAAACCAAAATTGTCACAGGACCTCGCGATCATTCCAACGTAAGGGCCAAGATCCTAAAGTTTGTTAATTTTCATGTCAATGCGCAAATTTTCCGTCGTCGATAAAACAAAATAATCGTCTTACCTACTGTGATCGTTTCTTCGCGATATTTGCATCGACGGCATAGCGTTCTTCTGCTTAATCTCCTTTGGGCGCAGCTGAGAACGGGGCTGTATCTTTGGGGAAGAATACGTGTCGCGTTAAAATATGACAAGAGCGATTTACACTCTTCTCGTTATTCGCATCCTCCTATTAAAATCTCGAAATGAAACTGCCCTCGATATCTTAGACGATTTAGAAGCGTTCTTGTACCTTGACGTCACCAAGTTTTGCACGACGTTCACCAATTCCTTCTCCTCGAAGGATCCTCCACGGTTAAGGGTATCCGGGTCTTCTGTTATCTTGTACCTTTTCTTCTCGATATCTTCCTCGTCGTCGATCCTCGTCTTCCTCCTCCTCGAATTACCGTTTTCAAAGTAATTCGCGCTTGGTATTTGGATCGTTTTCGTCGGGTACAAATGATTCTTCTCCTTCGCGTGATCTGTTTCGTCGTACGTTGATGCCCAAGTGGAACTCCTGTAAAAAAATATTAAAATATACAAAGAAATTTTTTTATAGAACAAATCAAAGCGTTCATTCTACCTAGGCCGATCTTCGTTCTCGAAACGCACTCTGGCTGTGCCAGCACTGTGCTCGTGATCGAAATTATTACGCGCGACTTCCGGTGTCGCGGCGATTAATCCATTGCCATCCGAAATAGTCTGCTCGTTCCGGAGGGCACAGTTTCTTCTCGAGTTCTTTTCTTCCTTTCGATCTGCCTTTCTCCTCAACCTTTCTTCTACTTCCGGTGAACTGGATCGTATCTCGTTCGCTGACCTTCGAATCATTCGCGCAAACAGATTAATTATTCTATCAAGAGACTCGTATTCTTAATCTTTCTTTGTTCTAATCTCCTCCTTCCAAGTATTTCTCTCGAAAATTTCAATAAAGTACTAAAGAAGGAAAGTCTCCGTTGATCCCTACTGTATAATCGAACAAATGAATTTACCTGTTGGCACTTTGCCAAGGATCCAGCCAGGTAGCCTCGGAGGAGCTCGATTTAACGGTTCCAACGATGGACGAAGTATCCAACACGTTGCTGTAGGTCGGTTTGTACCAAGGTGACGGTATCCTGACGATTCTACCTGGATACAGAGTTTCCTTTACCGTGTTTCCGTTCGATTGCGATGGCAAGATCGACAATGAAACGCCTCGTCTCTCGGCCAAGCCGATCGGATCGACACTGGCTACTCTGACGTCCCAGGGATCGACGATGGAGAGCAATACTTTCTGTGCGAACAGAATAAAGATGGATAGAGTGTAAGAGGGGACACGGTCAGAGGAGTACGTCGCGGCAGTTGACTAGTTAAAGTTCATTAAAGTTACGCATCGTACGTTCAATCGGGCTAAAGTGGAACAGGACAGACGATCTTGAGTCGGCTCCTTTTCCAATCCTTTTCCGGATACTTCCAGCCCTAAAGTACTTGCATCGTTGATCGGATACCTTTCCTTTATAATGTTTGGTAGCGAAACGATCTCGAACCTGATTCGATTGAAATCTGAGCTTATCCGAATTTTCAGGGATCAGCTGATGAATCATATCCAGCGAGAGTAATCGGGCTCTCGAAGTGGCTCGTTAAAAAGGAATCACATTATAGTATTTACAGATGATCGATCATTCGAAGTAGCATCGAGCAGACAGTTTGACGTGTGCAAAGCCATTCGAATTACGTAATGAAAGCTGATAATGTATCACGTGCACTATCGTATTCTTCTCGTTTTCTTTTTTTAACTCGAATCGATCGATTTCGATCTCCCGATGATACGATCATCGCGAATCCTAAGATCTCATCGCGCGAAGTGATTTCCACGAGGAAGTAGGGCATAATCGTATTTGAATGTTTGAACAAATAATCGAGGAAATACCGAAGCCGTGCGTAAAAAGATTAACGCGTTGCATTTATTTACTGCATCGGTGTATTTGCAAATTGTACACTCGATAGAAGTAGTTATTATCGAAGGGGCCGTATCTTGTTTACGCTCGGCGGAGCAACGAACAGAACTTCAAACAAGTGGAACAATAAAGCGATTAAAGAGACTCGTGCAACGAGACTATACGCCGGTTTAAATATCCCGATCAACAAACGAAATGTTTTCGTAGGTGACGGTTTGTTGGTACTGCTCGTTGATACAACGGTGATTATCTCCGAGACGGAGGACCGTCCTAATCGGATCGTATTTTATGGAAATAAATTGAATTATCTTTACGTAGGAGCACGTGAGTCAGTTCGTATACACTGGATCTCTTACAGACTTTACAAGAACGCGTTTGTTATCCTTCGAACGAGAATAGAAACTAACAATAAGTGGTCACTATTATTTGAACAATTGCTTTGTAGAGCGGGATTGTTGAAAAAACTCGCGGGCAAAAGAGCAACGTTGCGCTCGGAATTCGAAATTCAAGTAAAAATTAAAATTATCCACGATGAGATCACTTCTGTCGTCGATTCGTTTGCATAAGAAGACACGAGTTTTCCGTGAAATTAGGTTGAATAATTGTGAAAAGATGACTTTTGATCCCGATGAAGCGAACAGCTTTTAATCGTTTCTCACGGTGATTCGCGTTCGCTGTCTAATTGCCAAGATTTCGCTTTAATTTCATACTCGGTCTGCTCCAAAGTCGATTACAATTTACGTAATACAGTAATAATGTTTATCAAACGCCCGCTTGACTCTCGGTTTTTACGACACGCGATGTTTGCCGTCCACCAATTCGGCAAACGGAAAGAAATTATTAATATAAACCCGAAGAATTTTGTCAAAAACGTCTTCGTCTCGTCGAAAATCCTCGCGTTTCTCCTTTTCTTCAGAACCTCCGGTGTTTTTCGAATTTTCCTGCAAACTTCTCGGTTACAAGGAAACGGGATAACTGGAAAAATTAAGCAAATCCTTTGACGTCAGAGTATTTTACGATGATTAATGACAGAGAAAATTTAAATACCATTAATATTTCTATGAATTCCATCGAACGATATGTATTCGATTGATCCTGAAAATCCTAGGGCGAATAAAAATTAGAAATCTAGAAATACAATTCTGCTTATTTAGCAAGTGCTATTTTTAAGCGAATTGGAAAAATTTAAACGTAACTATGAAACGGTGTAAATCAATGCGTCAGTTGTTGAACGGTGTGAAAATTACGTAACATTTTAGCCTGTCCTGACGAGTACTTTTCATTGTACTTTTGTTACACTTGTCACAAAAATACCACAAAAATGAAAAAAAGTAAATTAACCGCGGAGCTTCTTCGACGCGAAGGCTCGCGATGAAAATTTCTTAAAAAAAAAAAAAGAATTCTCGAAAGAGGATCGAAAGAATTGCGAAAGTAAACGCACGACTTTCGCGGCGTTTGAACCCTCTTATCGCCTCGAACGTTTCTCACAGCTTTGGGAAAAAACCGATCAAGAATCGGTAGAATTTTTCTAGCGAATATAACGTTTCGAGAAAGGATTTACCCACCTTTTGACTGTCGGTCCTCTTCCGTTTCCTCTTGAATCTCTCCATAGCGGCCCGTGGATCGTTGGAGGCGTTGATTCCCAGCCGATTTCCTGGATCCCGATGAAATCCGTTCCGATCACACGGATCAGATTAACCGAGAGAGAACCTCCACCTTCGAAGACAGGTGGTTTTAGACTGATCTTCCGTTCCTTATATCGGCAACCACTTAGCGATATCTTCTGAGACCGCGTTCAATGTATCGGTAACGCGTTCGCACGCTCCCGCACGGGCACACATACACATACACCCATACACTGACAGATTTGCACGCCAATTCACTCGTACAACGACAACGGAGACCGCATACTTGTATACGTACTTACAAGATATGTCCCTCTTTCCGCCCACGGAGGCGAACGATATCGATAAATCCCGCGAGTGACCAAATCGGAGCGCGTGAGCAAGCGTGTTTGCCACGATGCCGATCGTCTACAAACGGATGCTATCAGTACGGTTCACGATCTTGAGGAAGAAGGTTCGTTTTCGTCCAAGAAGAATCTTCGAACCTCCTCCGATTCGCTTTCCATCTCGTCAGTTCTTCAAACGGGTCAGCAGGTTCGGGAGTACTCGAGATCGCTTCGAACATGTTTCGTAAATCGAAGAACAAAAAAAAAAAAAAAACATTACTCGTCCGGTGATACAGTTTCATTTGAATACATCGAAGCATATCGACGCGGATGACTCGTTATGTGTACAATGCGCAAAATCACGGGACAAATTTATTACATAAGCGACATTGTGTACCAAACGCGACACGAAATCTTGTAAAATAACAGGGAAGAAATAATACATCGCGCATCGACTGATTTGATAGTCTATCGAGTCGCGTGCATCGGTGCAGAAAGAAAAAAATAGAAAAAAAAGAAAAATGTTCTATTTTATCAGGCTTCGGATTCGGATAGAAAGAAACCGTTCTGCTATGTCCTCTGCATCTTTCTTTTATTTTCCCCGACTTTTTAATGATTCGAAAAAGAAATCGAACAATACCATTCGCTAATCCGGTATACCAGTTTTACAGGAAAAATCATCAACTGATATTACAAGATAAATTGGAGCATTTGTTATTTACGGGCTACGATTATACATAATAGTTTTAATTAACGTCTAAAGGGAGAGGAGTTAACTTGTAATGATATGGTCTTACTGTAACAATAATTAAATTATACTATCTAAATTCGATCGACTTGTTAACGCGCCTAATTAATGAAGTAATTAATAATTAATCGAGCCTGTTCTCCTATGCGATCAAACAGTTTTCTTAGATTAAAATAAACGTAAACTCATCTTCTCTTTTCATAGAAAAAATACTATTGGACGACAATATAAATATTTGTGTATTAACGCATCGTTAAGAGTTAATCTCGATGGATCTTGAGCGCAATACAATTAGAAATCACAATATGATAGAATATAAATAAATACACGCGCGATAACAAATATCGATAAAATTTTCTTTCAGTATCGAACAAAAATTTTTCATTCTCTCGGAATGCACCCTTTGAAACACGTTATAAACTGGCGCATCAGAGCGACACAACTTGGACGTATTTTTTTTTTTTTTTTTTCTTTTTGTCTCTTATTAACTCGCTCTAATTAGTATCTTCTACTTAACGTAACAACGATAATAACTTCGCCAAAAAATATTACAATCCACTCGTACCTGTTCCGACAGACACTTGGCGTCGCATCAGGACTAATTATGTAATTACTTCATCGATTAATAGAATAATACCATCACAAAAAGTCGTGAAAATCTTACAGCCGTCTCTGCCAATCGATGCGACCTTCGGCTAGAATCTACTTACTATAATTTAATACTTGCTCGGTATTTCACGTGTTTAATCGCATGCCAAACTGAAAATTCCAAAGCCAGCCAAGCGTACGCCTGGATAATACACGCAGGCGGTATTAATTTTCTTCTGGTAACAAACGTATCGCTTAATTGATCGAAACCGATTCTGAAACTTATTGGCGAAGTTACGAATCGCGGTGTTCTACGTTCGAATAAAATATGCAATTTCTTGTAATGCAGATCCATACACGAAAAAAAAAAAAAAAGAAAAAGAAAAGAAAAGGTACCGAAGGTCCACCTTCATCGTTTGCCATCGTTCAGACTCAACGGGGTGCGAACAATTTCTTAATTTTTCTTCAACAATAATTTACAGATCGTTTTGCACTGTTCCCACGATAGAGAATCATTGATCAAACGAGAATTCATTGCATCCTATAGACGGAAAAATAATGAAAACTTCCGTGTCTTTTATAACATATTACGTATTTCTAATTTCGATTACGTATCGATTAGAATTTGGAAACTGGTAGTTCCCGACTTTACTTCTTCGTTTCGAGAATACTGTTGTATCATTTTTCGAATATGATCGAAGCTCTCATTATTTTTACAAATGTTCTACTAGTGTTACCGTTTTATCATAAACGTCATCGTTTTACACCTCTCCTTTGTCTTTTCGTTTACAATTCGGCCTCTGCTGCCCCCAAAAATCACGTTACGATTCATTCTGAATAAAGTTTAAAAACATTAACGATAGTTATACATCTATCTCTATAATTATTATCTGCCGAGGCTTCTCTTCTGTTTATTTTTCATGACCGAGCGAATCGTTCGGAACGAGCAACATCACAAAGACAATTGAGAAACTTAATTGAATTAAGAGGAAAGTAAACGCGAAGGGGATATAATAAATGCGGAAGAATCTCGTTCCAAAGAATTCGCTGTTCGACGAGCAGGCCAAGATAATTTTAAAAGTTGATCAGTGCTCCCACTGACATTAAAGACGTTAAAATTATTCATATATATATAATATAATATAATATAATATATATATTTCTGTTTTATTTTCTTATTATCAGCATTTTTCCCTTAATAGTGTCACTGAGTATTATTCTTATTCTCCGTTATGGCGTTCTAACTGGTGTTTTTCTCATTTTAACATTTTCATCTTAAGTCTTATAATTTGTAGGATTTTAACGCTCATCTCCTCGTTTCGTGTCCGTTAAATCCCATTATCCTAAGTGTTAATCCTTAAACGAGCGTTTACGAATGTTTACGAAGGTATTTCGTACCGATGCGGGATGATCAAAGTGTCTATTAAATTCAACAATTGGGGAGAGTAGCATCTCGACTAAGCACAGCTACCTTTCGCTTATTTCCTTTAAGTTGAATCGCGATTTCCGTCGCAACTCTCCCCGTAACACATTCACGATCGACGCGTTACCAGTCCGAGAATAATTAAATCTTCGCGTTTCTCTGTCTTTTTGTTACAGTAAAAATCTATAATTTTTTAAAGAAAGTAAGATAGTTCCGTTGATGCCACGATTCTTCGAAACGAAAACGAACGGGGCTGGTAAACGAACCGAGGAAACGCGTGTACAGGGTGCCGATGCGAAGGAAAAAATCAACGACTTAAACGATAATACTTCTTTCTTAAGTTTACTCACTCGTTCAGACTCAACGAATCGAAAATCTGCGATATCTATTAGGCTAAGGTAAAGAGGAACGTTCGCTCTTTTGTAACATCTTTTATGCATGCTAGACGCGACGAACGATAGGCCAAAAGATAGATTCATCTAGGCTGACGTTCAGCATGATGCAGCAACAATATCGTAATTCCTATAACGATGCAGTTACGCGTGTGTCTTTTCAATTAAACCGTTGTATTATCGATCAAAGATACGATGATACTCGCATTCAATATTGATGTTTACCATCGGATCATCTCGCGTATCTTTAAAAGACCAAAAAGTCTGTTAACTTTACAACGAGACGCACAGTTCATTCGCGTTAGTGTGCAACGCACACAGACACGTCTATTAATCAAGCCAAGAGTCTGATATGATTTAGAGCGGTGTCCTATTGATCCGTGTAATCGTGTTAAGAAAAACCAAAGGAGTAACGGTAATGAAAGAGTTTCGGTTACAAAAGATAAGTGAAAACTTTCGATGAAACGATATCCTTTCTATTATGCACCAAACACGTATTTTAACGTCGGACGTTACGTCATTCTCCTGGATCATCCAACTTCGCTTCCTCGGCTATTCGATCGAAACAATCCGACAGGAACGTGTACTGCGAATAGAACGTTAATCGTTCGAGTGTAAACAGCACGTCAAAATGTTTTAACTAAACTTCATCGATAATAGGAAAGAGAACATCAGAATTACGTAACGATATTTAAAACGTGTCCTCTAAACCGAAACATATCATTAACATTGATATCTACGGGACAAGTGTATTATACAGTAACGAGCGATAATAAATTCGATAGTTTTAAATTCAAAAAGGGAATGTTAACATTACGATAACCAGACGATAAAATTAGATACTTACGTATGGTGTGAAGACTTTAAGCCAACGCGGCGGACGGTTGTCCTGTCGCGTGTACTGGAAGCAAAACGCCATTCCCTCTTCGTCTACCTCCCACCGTGCGATGGTGTCCCATTGAAATTCAACCACCTGAGATTCCAAAGTACCGTCTTCTTTTGCCGCGTGCAATTTGAAAGCCCCGGCTCCCACGGCCGCGACAACGTGTCCTTCCTTTCTCGAATCGCACGCGCAATGAGGGAACACGATGTCGCCGTAACCGCTCAATTCTTTCGCCAGTTTTAGGTACTGTAGACAAGATGCAAAAATGGATAAGTAAATCGTTTCGCAAACGGTATACAAGAGTAGGGAGCTAAGAATTCGTTGCACCTCGTGTTTCCTCGAGGCATCTTGCAGAGCCTTCAGTTGGTAGAGTCGTTCACCGGCCGTGATGTGACCCCTGTTGACCTCGTCGACGGTCTGCCAGAAGATCCAGGTTAACGCTTGCTCTCCGAGCGGTCTATTTACATTGAAAAGCCACCTTCTTATTGCTAGACACGTTGCACTGGCGGTCGAGTAGTTCTGAATGTACAGAGTGTGAGGGTGCTCGTGAGGTTGCAACTTTCGTTCTGAAAAGGAAACAACGTTGGTACTTTAAAAATAGATGACGAGTCTAAAACGTAGGATTCTGAAAGGAGGGCCCAAAGGATAGAGTACCGAAATTGTACTCGACGATCTCGAATAGATAAAAGTATTTAGCCGTTTCCGCGTCTAGGCCGACTCTGCTGCAAACCGCATCGTACACATCCTTGACGGAAGCGGCTTTCGCGACGGTGACGGTGACCACCTCGCGATCCGGCAGCAGTACTTTCAAATCGACAGCCGGTCCTTGATCACCGTCCTCGTCCAGCCTGTCGGTCAGGAATTCTTGCATCGCGTCGCTTTCCGCGATCACCCGTACAGCGCAAACCTTCTCCAAATACTGTTCCAGTCCTCGTCTTCTCGCGTCGAGTTGTTGCTCGCTCAATCTACGGAAACGTAACGATTTTACCTTGTAAGCGCAAGTGTACTTATGTTAGTAATTTGAAAGTTGAACGCGTTATCGATCAATACGGATATCGTACTGGAATGGCCATTTTCCTGGAAGCTTGGGGAAGTTGAAACCAATAAACTCCTTCTTCAAAGCCATATGCAAGGCGGCGAATTCCCGATAACGTCGCGAACATAGGTGTCTGCCTGCCATGTGGACGTTGAAAACAACGTAACGCTCGTGTTTCCTCTCGCGGACATGATAGTCCGGCACGCTGATAGGGAGGGACCGCTTCTCGCTGTAGTCCACCGCCGCGTAACTAGGAGAAAGTGCATCTCGTCGATATAAACGCATTCAGACGCGATAGGAGGAGAAAATTACTGCTTTCCTTACCTGAGATCTTCGAACGGCTCCAGCCTTTCCGCTTCCTGCGGCGTCACGGAGATCACGGTCAGTGTTAAAACATCGCCTCCAGATTTGATCAGGTCGACCACTTGTTTATGAGTCGCTCCCTCCACGTTCACGTTGTTTCTGCAATGGAAATCAAGCTTTTGTTATCTGGAAAGAAACACGGAGAAACACCTGCAGATTTTTCATTTACCCGCTGGTGATCGCTTTGAATCGCGAGTTGTTCAACTCGCGGCGATCGCGACTTTCCAACCACTCGCATTGAACCGCGGTCACGTAACACGTTAACATCTCGGGACTACGGTGATAACCCGTCGAACTGCAAAGTCCGATCGCGACTGGATCGAAAGAAAATATCGAAGGACTTCTCTTGTCCGGCTTAGGATCCTGCGGACTGGTTTCGACTTTCACGAGATCGCGTGAAAGAAAATCAAATGAAAAAAAAAAGGAGAGACGGATGGAAAACAAGCGAACAGCCTTGTACGAGCTTTGAATTCCGAACGAGTAAGAAGGAGTGTTATTGGCCGAGGAGCGGAGGCACGGCTCCGCTTGAATTCGCGTTCCACACTCGCCAGTAGCAACGCAACGCGCGTACTTTATACTTTTCCCTATCGCTCTTGCTATCCCCCTCGGCTCTATTTCATTATCTTTGATTTCACGACGAACCAGCTTGACCTAGATCAAACGAAACGTTTCTTAAAAAGATCTTTCCTCGCTGCATCGTCCTTTCGCCCCACGAAACAATTGCATTCCTTCTTATTTCCCTTAGAGACGAAACGTTGCCCGATATCGTCGTACACAATTTCCTTTCGAATCCAGGAAGAAAAGGAAACTTTCTCGCCTACCAATCTGGATATTTTTACCGCGATTCCCTATTTTTACTACGAACCCCTTCCGCAGGCTGGCCTCGTTGTCTATCGATGCAACGAGAAATCGTAGACCGTAATGAAATCAAGCGAAGGAAACAGCGGCAACTATTATTGATCGAAAGCAGAAATAGAATGACCGAAACGAAGTAGCTAATCAAGGAAACTTCGTGGAAAACGTCGATGAACTGCGATTTTACCAAATACCGCGACAATTACGAAAGCAGGAGAATGCATCTATGTACTCCGAGATGCACATTACGAAAACAAACTGAACGCTTCGATCGAGAGATGATAATCAATTCGAAAACATATACGGGTGTCACGATAAGATTACCGTTCGATTTTATTATTTTATCAACGGTTTACTTCTATTGCAACGCAGTCTGGTTAAGAAGCAATTCCGGTGCGTTTATCAACGATCAACCTTGTAGATTTTCACGCGTTCAAATTTATGCGGTGGTAATCGTTAAATTATCTGCTTTCTAAGGAGAAAGTTGAATCTTTGAATTCTCTCGACCTGCTCGTCTTTGGTCAATTATTTACGACCGATTTTATCTAGAAGGAGTCTCGATTTTCCACACGTATCCCTCGAAACGTTAGATCCTCCGTGGCTTAATCAGCAAAGTTGAGAAAGTAATTGAAGAGAAAGCTGAACGAGCAGATCGCAATAAGCTCGTTGAATGAACCTTAACGTTTCGTTCTTGAAAAAGACCGAAAATCGATTGGTACCAAAGGGAAAATAGCGCGACACTCTTATGCGTTTCTTTTTCAATATTTATCATCGAGTATTTTTACAAAAATCCTTCGGGAATTCCGAACGACAGATAAGAAGACGAGCAGAGGTAGGGTAGAAAAGAGGTCGCGTACGTTTGTCTGAATGGACGAGAGTATTTACATTTATCGATACTCTATCGACGCGTCGATCGATCGGGTGTCAGTGGCACTTAAACGAGAGGAGAATAATCAAGTTTCGCTATAAAATTTGTATCGCAACACCTTGATTATAAGAAACTCTCGATTACATCGTGTTCATTATGCTTTCCCCTGTTCCGCTCGAATCGGAAATTCTCGCTTGATTAAAACTGCACCTTCGATAAACGCCAGGTGGCACAGAGAAAGTATTCTCCGTGAATTAATCGCAGGTTTAATTGAAAATTTTAGAGAAAATCTTCCAGATCTCTCGGTCGTTTCGAGCCGCGTAATCGCGTCCAGCGAAACGCGTTGTCGATAAAATACCAGTTTCGTTCTAATTTAATATGGTGCCCTTGGTGGCTGAAAAATCCATCAACTAGATCTACGTGTAACCACTTGTGCTAGAAGCCGCACAAGGGACAAACCTTTTAGAAACGTCGATGCCTCGCGTAGCTGGTGTACCGTAAATGAGAATAGATCTAAAGTTGTCTTTGTTTCAATTTCACCTAATTACGGTGGCTCGTTGCGACAAGTGTCGAACGTACGGACACGTATACGTCGCGTTATTTCATTTATTCCGATGAAATTTTACGGAATATCAGCTCGATTAACGGATTATAAGCGAAATTTCTTGCTCGAACGCATGCGAGGGTAATTTAACTAGATTTACGGTATAAATTTCCTGGCAATTGAATTTCCCGATTATTCTAATTGCCACGGTTACTCGTCGCTGCGATAAGAAAAAAATTCTAGCCAACGCAAGAGTAATTAACGCCTGATTAGTTGGATGCGATCGCGGCAAGTACAGTGACCTGTTGGCAAGATAACGAATCGAGTAATTCCTCCAATTCTTTCGATCGAATCTTGGAGCCCATCGATACTTCCCAAATACCGTTTACATAACTCGATACGCGTTTCCGATTTCCTCGATATTGGCACGCGTTATTCCGAACGGTTGGCAAAGAAACCGATGGAAAATCTTCTGCCGCGATAAGTAACGAAAGCTCCAGTCACGCGAGTCGGCATTTTCACGACAATGATTAAGTCCTCTCGTCTCGTGAATCGTTTTCTCACGTTTACCTTTCGACACGAGTAACATTAGCAAACCGAACGAGCCTACGGTACCGTTACGCTCGTCTTCTCTCTTTCGTACCGTTAATTACGGGACGGGTTAATTGAAAAAAAGCGTTAGAACAAAAATCAGGAATATTCGAAGAAAAATGTGGGCGCGACGTTCCATGAACAGATGCTACGATATCGTCTTAATTACTTTTCAATCTAAATTACACATAACGCATAATTGTCAGTCATTTTCGCGATGTAATCGCGTGGCTTACGCCAGCTGTTGCGTCTGTAATTATTTCACGGCGGCTCGCGTACTTCGGATAACTGTTACAAATCATGCCTCTTTGAATTAGAAATAAAGTATTATACAAATTGTAATTTCCTTTCTGTCTCTCTTACATTGTATTATCACAGGGCCATTGTATTTTGGGGGTTCGAGGCGAGCTCCGAAAAAGGGCCCCTTCATATATATGACATAAAAAAAGTAGCTCAAATAAAATTTATAAAATTAACATTAAAGCTTGTATAACTACATTACTCTCTTTGCATTCTTAGACGCAAAATCGTCTTATAAAGGGTGCTGGATCTTATGGGGCCCTACGCGGCCGCCCAGGGTCGGCCCTGTATTCTCATTTATCGATTATCGACGCAAAGGATCACGGCGTGAATGGTTAGAAATTGCTCGACGAACGAAAATCAGCTTGACAGCTCAGATTTAATATCCGTAAACACGAACGTCGCGACGTTTGATCAAGGGATCTCGTGAAGGAAAGATCGACAAGATGCAACGTTGTTTTTCAGTTTCACAAACACGACGGGAAAAGAATTGTTCGTACCGGAAGTGCGGTGTTTGAAACTCGACGGAACGTCATCTAAACTGCGATCTACTTGCGAATAGATTCTAGTACTTTTCCGTGTTTTCCTAAAAGAAATTATGAATCAATCTTTGTCATGACGAAATTGAATGAATATACGATAGCGCATTCGACGATCGGTCGGAAGCAGGAAAGTGCGCTCTGATACGAATGTTCGATAGTTTGATTTATCGCAAATCGAAATAGAGTTGTACGAATGGCGGAAAAAAGAAATAAATTCAAAGTGGTTACATGGAATGAAACGAAGAGATTGATAATGGTGTCAAAATTGCCGATGGGTTCCTCGAGGACGGACAGGTAGAAAGTAAACTGTGCCAAGAAACCGAACCGTTTCTTACACGTTAAACGGTATTATGCCTAACCGGCTGAATCGATTAAAACGAGCATCGCGCTATCGTAGTGATATCGATAAAGCTTATAGAGAAAAGTTACGGTAACGTCTTGATGTCGAATGGACACCGATAACTTTGACCACGCTAGCGCGTTAGATTTCGCAAACAAGGTAGAATAGATCCGTTGTATGCATCGTTATTACTCAACCTTCACCGCGACGCGAGATTTTCTCTAATGGAGTAGGAGTTCGGTACCCGTTTGACAGGTAAACGCACATTGGTCGAACGGTAAAGGAACGCGGACCAAGGATCGAGTTTCGATTTAAAAAAAAAAAGAGAAGAATGAAAACAGAAAGAAAAATGAGTACTTACACTTCGAGTATACGATCGCCTTTTCTTACACCGGCTTTCTCTGCAGCACCTCGGGGTAATACGGCGCTGACATGCTGAAGCGGCGCGTACAGTTCCCCGTTGATGCTTCTCAGTTGTCCACCCTCGCTGACCTGGCCGCGTACATTGAACCCAAAACCAGTCTCGGTTTTGTAAATGGTGACGCATCTCGGACCCTGTCCGATCGGATTCGTCTGGTTCACCGGATGCTGAGGTACGCGTCCGTTGTTGATCATCGTTACGCTCGTGTTTCTCGTTACGTCTTCGTTGGCGGTTGGCAAACGCTGCACCTCCGACTCGCAGTCCGCCATCTTACTTTCTGACCACCCATTGATGTTCCTTTTGTACGGCAATTCGCCGTAAGACTGCGCTTGTGTAGCACCGTTGCCAGATGCAGGCTTCATAATGAAGCCTTCGCTAACATTCCATACATTATGAAAAGTTATATACCTATAACTAAACGTTAGACTTCCGCTTCAATACCAACTACGTCGTATCAGTGACTACTCACTGCCTAGTATAAGAATGTAAAACACTTTGCACTTTGACGGTAACAGCAGATTGCTTCGATATATCACTGATACCAAATAAAGGCTTCATTATGAAGTCTTTAGTGGATCACACGTTAATTCAAATAATTGTTTGACAAACTTGTGGTTTAAAAAAGCCGCCATAAATTACAAATTTTAATTCGATGCTAGCGCCATCTATACAAAAACGGCTCAAACTACTCAACGACTTACCGATCGATTTGCAACACTGCCGCCGCCTGTCGGTAAATAACAGGAACTAAACTGCGAATAGTTTCCGCCGTTTCCCGATAGAGGGCGCCAGTGAGCATCGCCTGGGTCGGTAAATCGTTGAGTAGTTTGAGCCATTCTTATATAGATGGTGCTAGGATCGAGTTAAAAAATTTTTAATTTACGGCGGCTTTGTTAAATTACAAGTTTATCAAACAACTATTTTAATAACTTTCTGAAAAATGGAATCAAAGGGCTGTTGTTGCAAAAAATAGAAAGCTATAAATAATACTCAAATGAGCGTATAGGAACATACTAACACAACTTTTAAAATATCAGTTATTTGTTCTTTGTGACAGGTATATGCACTGAAAATATATAGGAAATGAGAAATAATTCAACAGTTTTATTGTTAAATAATAATGGTAAGTTTTACAGTTATTGCATTTGTTTAAGAAAATAAATCTTCTTATATGTTTTTCTCCATATAATTAATGAATTTACTACTTATGAATATTTTCCCTTACATGTTATTCAAGTTGTACAATTCATTGACACAATATGTTCATAAATACAAAAGTCATTCTTGTAGGCTTTAGTTAATCTCTAACATAAACAATTTTTCCTTACTTATTAGGTAACTAGTATGTTGATTACAGGATGTTCGTATATATTTTACATTAAAGGATGTGATAATGTAAGTATTTATGTACTATAAAAGAAAAACATTTAGCATTTTAAAAAAATAATCACTGTAGAATGTTTTGGGCATTATCTGAAAGGAGTATTACATTTAATTTTCTAAATTACTAAAACATATAATTTGTTCTTTTGGTATAAATATATTAAAATTTACAATTTAAATACTAGTCTTTTGTTAGAACGAAGTGATAGCTTCCTGCTACCAGTCCACTTAGTAATATTTTAATATTCACAATTTGTGAATATAATTTCCTCTCAGGTACTTAATGTAATTGCTTTCTAAATATATTACATTTTCACATTACAAATTTTCTATTTGTGAAGTTAACTAATTATAAAACATGTAAAGATTAAATACAGTCATTAAAATCCTTGTACATGAATTTCCTCTAAAAAGTGTTAATTTATACAATTTTTGTTATATAGGAAAATAATGCTAAAAAATATATTTTTATAGTTCTTCAATATGAGATTTTAATAATGTAGGTAGTGATGGCACATCTTTCGTCACGAAATTATCTGAAGAATTAATCATTGGAAAGACATGACTTAGTATAGCATAATAATGCAACCCAGCTGCTATAACAACAAACACATGCCAAATTGCATGTGCACAAGGTATTCGACCATCGGATTTAAAAAACAGCAAGCCAAAGATGTAAAAGAATCCTCCCATTTTTAGCTCAGCAATATCATAATAATGAGACTGAAAAAATTAATGTATATGTTTTTAAATGATTCGGAATTATGTATTGTTGCTATAATAACGTATATGTATAGTGATAAATGAGAATATCAATATTAATCACATAATGCATTGTTTTGAAAGTATAATTGTGTACTTACAACGTTAATAATTGCAACACTAGGACCAATTCCAATAATTAAATAAAAAATTGTTTCTAACATTTTATATCGTTCATGGAAGATTTGTTGATAAAGTATACCTAAAATTGCCATTATCCAAACAAGGTAACGCATTGCAAACATTAATTCATCGTCGGGGAAATGATCAACATTTAACCAAGGAAAATAGCTAGCAGCAATAAAAATGTAAATCATAGCACGATCGCAACGATGTAATGCGTCTTTAAGTTGTCTGCAATATAACTTAATGTTAAAATTTTATGAATGAATGAACAGTAAAGTAACAAGTTACATTTACTTAAAACAAAGAAGTACCTGTTATTATTGCAATAGTGTACACTGTGGAAAAATGTTGATACCGTAAAAACAAGTATCAAAGATGTACCATATACATAAGCTGATATTAGTTGTGACCATGTTATAGAACGGCGAACAAGTTCCCAACCTGCTATCACAGATGGAACAACCCAAATTCCATGAGTAGCTACATTTGCAACATGTTCTATCGAAGTAGGTACATATGCTTCATTTGTACATGCCCGAGGATTCATCCATTTTATTCTGTAAAAATATAATAAATTTTTTTTAGCATGTTAATAATATAATAGTAAGGTACTAATTTCTGTGTATCAGTATTAAGTTACAAGAAACTTAATGCATAGATAAATATAGGTAATCATGTGTAGTAAGATAAATGTATAGGGAAGAAGTATAAAATTACAAACATATAGAATATAAACAGTCATATAAAATTACAAAAATCAGTGTATGGGTAAGGTTTTAACATTGAAATATAAAAATATAGTCTATATAGTGTATAATTAAATTATATACTCTAAATCACATTTAGCTAAATTCTAAAACTTACATAATTGTTAATATACATGTATGTACAATACCTACTTGTTAATGTATATTTGATGATATTATACACATTCCATATGTTTCCAGATATTGTAAAGATGAGAACTGTTGAGAATCCATATAACTTTGGTATTCCATAGATGACATTACTTGTTGCAATTATTTTATGGTCCATTTACAAGCATAGTAGCAATACATTCCACTTAAATATATCAGATTAAAAATACCCAATACATGCAAGTTATAATTCTACATACTAGCAAACTAAAGAAATCAATGGGTAAGTAATAAATGAAATTCATTTAAAAGTATGGTAGAAATAATATGATATAAAAAAGATATTTCCTTTGAATTTATTGAATAAAATTAGCACATTTACAATGCAAATTCTTTATCAGTTTTTCTACACAACAATTAGACGCATTATTAATTTTTTTCATATAGCATTAAACCTATTATATAAGAAACTTTTAGGGTTTCATATAAGCATACAGGAATAATAAAAATATTCAATAACATGCTACATTAAAAACATACATTATTTCTCAGTAAACTATACAGATTGGGGTAATAAATAAATAGTTTACAACTGAAAGTCTAAATAGAAACTCCATGCAAAGATGAAATATCATTAATCAATTTTCTACAAATACTGACATTAGTATAAACAGCCACTGTTAAACTTAATGGAAAAATTAGGCAACTTAATTAAACGATCAAACGATAAACAAGTTAGTATTTGTTAATTAATATTAGTTATTATATCTTACTCTTTTATACGTTGAAATTGTATAAGATTTTTTATTGGCGCCGCAATTAATTGATGAAGACTAAACATATCCATTTTTTCCGGGAGTCAACAAGTATGTCTCGACTCGATAATCAATGTGATTATTAAAGTATTAATCAACGCAGCGGTTACTTCGTCACATATATCAGCTCATGCTTCGCATTACCAAATTATTTACGCGAAACTATGAATATTTATTAAAATTACTATGTATTATATACACTTTGAATGATTTAGCCACCCATTTTTTACATTACCGCTACCGTGGGTGCAGTGCTACTGGGAACAATAGAGCTGTGAAGTATAAAATACATACATACATATCCATATATAACTAACAGATAACAGATATAGTTAACATTAAAAGTGTAGAAATATTCAATCTATACAAATACATATGTATAAATATATAAAGATTTCACACTTTTTCCTTATCTTTCATTATCAGTTTTTTGACTATCTTCTATTTAATATAAACAAATATATAATATACATAGGATAATTTCTTAAATTAATAGTTAAAAATTTATCCCATGTAACGAAAAAAGAGTTCATCGTTGAAAACAATGAACAGAGTAATATTGTTGAATGTTGCATAACAATATTATAAGCTTGTTTTTTATATTTTAGTTGTCATGGCAACAATAATGGCATGAAATAAAATTTGATGTTTCAGTTTCATCGTTCCGTGAATTCAACAACGACTGTCAGCTGTTCAATATGCGGAACGATGGTATCAGAGGAGTATACTGCATTGTATAGTCCACTTGTAGAAGTCATTCTACATCGGGTTCGACATCTGTTCGCAAATCTTGTATTTAACGTGCGCGTGCGTGTATTTGTATTAACGTATGTACATGCAAGAAAGAAGAGAAACAGATAAAGCAATAAAAACAAAGATAGAAAAGGATATAAAAAGAAATTAGGAAAGAAGCGGATAAAGTGTTCTTACGCGCACCGTCTGTGCGATTTATGCAAAATCTTGTGCGTAACGTGGATGTATTGACACAAGGACTAAAATACAGTATATCAGGACTAATGAACCTCGCAAATCAGACTACTGATCCTCAAAGTGGTGTTTTCTTTGTCAACTTCAATCAAGATTGCACGTAAGTGTCGCACTCTCGGCTATTAAACTGAGGACATCGTCCTTTGTTCCCTAACCTTGTTTCTTCTTCATTAACAAATACAATTACTTAAAGAAAAAAATGTTATACGCGTGTTTATGTATGTGGAAAAGCCTTGTTTAATCACGCATAGTAACCTTCTGTATCTTTCATATACGCATCGATGCATATGTTCTAATATATTTTTCACAATATTTTCGTTTCTTATGTGTTTGCTTTTTCTTTTTATTTCTATTCATATTATGGAAATAATTCGAATTCATTTTAGGATAAATCAGAAGAAGCTTTCAGCGTTTTACACTTACTACTTTATTATGCTTGGAATTTTTATACTATCCTTTTGTCTACCTAACATTTTAATTTACCTTGAAATAAAGTATTGCCATTTCCTTTTTCATTTCTACTATTTACAATTCGTATTACCTGTTGAGAATTAATTTTATATAACTTATGAGTCATTGGTTAATTCATAACAATTATTTATTTTTTTTATGTGTATATGGTGATATTTAAATCAGATAACATTTATTGCAGATCTTTGGCAGTAGGATCAAAAGCAGGGTACAAGCTTTTTTCTCTAAATTCCATTGACCATCTTGAAAAGATATATGAAAATGGTAAAGAATATTTTAATTTTTTTACTTAATATTTATAAGTACTTGTTATATATTAAGAATCATTTTATTTTGGAATTATACTTCTTTCTTTATTATTTTATCATTGGTATCTATTACATGTAATTATGTAAATTATAGATACTGAGGACATATGCATCGTTGAACGACTATTCAGCAGTAGTCTTGTGGCGGTGGTTAGTCTATCATCACCTCGTAAACTCAAAGTATGCCATTTTAGGAAAGGGACAGAAATTTGCAATTATAGTTACTCTAATACCATTTTGGCTGTGAAGCTCAATAGAGCAGTAAGTTTGTTTTATTTTATTTTGTTGTAATGAAAGTATTACATTACATTATAATATACATATTTACAGAGATTAGTAGTATGCTTGGAAGAATCATTATACATTCATAATATAAAGGACATGAAAGTGTTGCATACAATCCGTGATACTCCACCTAATTTAGCAGGCTTGTGTACGCTATCGATAAATAGTGATAATTGCTATTTAGCATATCCAGGATCAAACACAATTGGAGAAGTTCAAATATTCGATGCGATCAATCTTGTGAGTATTAAAGAATGTATAAAATAAATGTTGTCCATTTAAATATGAAAAAATGGTTTCTAGCAAGCTAAAACTATGATTCCTGCACACGATAGTCCTTTGGCAGCACTTGCATTTAGTCCAAATGGTACCAAAGTAGCTACGGCTTCTGAGAAGGGTACTGTAATTAGAGTTTTTCATGTAAGTCTAATAATTCATACGGTACTAATTGTTTATTCAGTTCTTAAATTTAGATGCATTGCTGAAGGTTCTTTATATCTCTGAAGGTTCATGATGGTACAAAACTGTTTGAGTTTCGTCGAGGAGTTAAGCGATGCGTATCTATAAGCAGTCTTGCTTTTAGTATGGATTCTATGTTCCTTTGCTGTTCAAGTAATACTGAAACAGTGCATATTTTCAAGTTGGAAGAACCAAAAGAAGCGTACGTAATTCGGTCTTATTTATTGCATTAAAACTTTTATTATATTTGAATTATGTTTCGTTATTATAGACTACGGCAAACAACGGATGAATCACAAACTTGGATGACATATCTAACCAAAGCAATGTCCGCATCTGCTAATTATTTACCTTCCCAAGTAACCGACGTTTTTAACCAAGGGCGTGCCTTTGCGAGTGTCCATTTACCTTTCCAAGGGTTAAAAAATGTTTGTGCTATTACAGTGTAAGTTTTTCGATAAATCAATGCTTATTAGTATCGTATATATGTTTCTATGAAGTCTAAAATATATTCTACTATGCAGAATACACAAAGTACTTAGGCTGTTGGTGGCTAGTGCTGATGGGTATTTATATGTTTACAACTTGGATACAACAGAAGGCGGGGACTGTACATTGCTTAAGCAGCATAGGTTTGTATCTTTGAAAATTCTATAAATAAAATATAACAATCTTAAATAATTTACTTTGAAGGCAGTATAGCGCTCGGCTATACGAACCCCAACAAACATTTAGCGTTGAAATGGTCAGTACGGTTTATGACGCGCGCGTTCAAAGAAGCTATTCTTGAAGAAACCGTTAAAAGTTAACAAAGCATGTTTCAATGGAATTTTTCAGCAGTAGTCTATTCAGTAAATTGCACCGTCATAAACCGGGAATTTTCAAAGGGTCCACTGTACCAGGCTTGGCGGTCTCCGACCATATACAACACGAGTACCTGGCCGCTAAGAAGTCCCGCTACATTGCCATCTGTGCCTTATTCGAATGGATTCTAACTTCCTTTATTGATTGAAATATCCATTAATTAATTTAATAAATTGTATGTACAGATTAGATGGCAAACGAGATGAAGTGGATTGTGCAAGTGTATCCTCAGCTGGTGTAGGATCTGGAGAAACTCCAGCAGGAACTGCTGCACGAATAGTACAAAATACAGGTATGACAACATCATAAACATTCTAACATACGAACTATAATGTAGGCTATATAACCGAGCGAGTTGACGATAAAGATATATCACATACAAAAAAAAAACTGGTACATTAAAATGGTCACATTAATATCAAATGTTTTGTTTAAAAAATTGAAGTTCCAAATCGATCCACGATGAAGAATTCATATACGTTCAAGCATTTACAGATCGAGTTTGACATTACCTCCTCTGTTCTTTTTTTAAGCATGTCAACACTGACATATACACATGCGCGTACACGCGCAACATTTATGTACACAAACTGCAGGCATAAATCATGACTGATATACATATAAATCTAATATTTTGTTAATGCATATATGCATTTATTTGTATATAATGTAATTTTTATATCTAATTATGTTACATTTAATGACAAAAATTTATACCACTTAAGGAATTGTAAATTTACAGAAATAGGTGATTATTACATTTAATTTTGAACATAAAAATTTTTCTGTATTGTTAGTATCTTTTATTATACAAAATTTAAACGATTTTATTATAAATATAGTTTTAATTTTATAAATTTAATGTATAATATAGTATATTAACTTTAACTTGTATATATAAACGTGAATATAAATGAATACTGTGTAAACATTTTTTTACATTGAGGATCATAAAGAAGTATAATTTTTTTGATACAATTTCTTTAATATTAAAATTAATGAATAGTGATGTCCACAACCCATTGAATTAGCAACACATATTCTAATATTTTGCTCTCGATAAATATGCATGTTGTTTAACATTTGTGAAATGTACAGTAGCATTATTAGTGATTTTTATATACTTCAGTAGAGGCATTAATACTGTAAGATTTAATTTTATTCCTGAAATATATTATTATGTCAGATAAAGTAGTTGAAATCAGGTAGAATATGTTAGATTATGTTCTGGTAGAATCTTAAAAATATTAAAATACTGTCATACATTATCATTTATTTTAAACACATAATACATGATTTCTACATGTTGCTTTCATTGAAAACAATGTTCCTAGTATACTTGACTTGATGATAAAATTGTGTTTCATTGTAATTTTCTATATATTTTTCTTTAGTTTGTGTATCTTTACATTAATAAAGTTTGATTATAGAATCAAACAAATGCTATTTATCTTATCTTTTGTGTTGCTACTATTCATCAATTTTTATTATACACATTATATTTTCTTTTTCCTTGCTTCTAACCCCTCACAATTAAATAAGTAATTTCTTCAGGGGCTAAAGGGGGGCCCCAACTATTGACCTTACTTGATGTAATTTTTTCTTTTTATTATCCACTGAAGCCTGCATAAATAGCTACGCGGGTGTGTTGCGCGGCCGCTCGCCAGACTCCATGTCAGGTACTGGTATATCCTCTTTTCTGTCCCTCGCTTTTTTACACTCTCATTCTCCATAATGCACTCATTCCATTAAAAAATTCTGCTACTATACTTTTTTAAATAATTTTTTTACTTTTTAATATACGTTTATTTTCTCAGGTATAGAGAAGAAACAATGAGAGTAACAACTAATAATAAATAATTCTTATATTGTGTGGGTGCACTAAACTTTTAATATACATGTATCCAATTATCTAGGTTTTATAACATTTTAAAAGGATTTAATGAAATTATATTTTTCTTACTATCTTGATGGAAAATTGATATCTGTACATTCACTGTGAGCTTTATAAGCATATTTAGTAAACAGTTTTCAGGTATTGTTTCAAAGCTGTCAATTGTTTAATAGAAAAGTTATTAAATGTATTAACTACATTTCATAAATGTTTTAAATCCTAATGATCTTTAATATTACACAATATTACAGTAGAAGTTTCCTATTATCTTGTGTTCCCAATAATATAAAATGTAAGAGACAAACATTTTTACTAACCGAATATTTATAAATATTTATAATATGAACATGTAGAGTAATAATTTTATCACTAATGACTATTGAATTATCAGTTTAACATGATATTATTTAAATCTATAAGCACAATTTTGTACTGCATAACATTTGATAATGTTTTCAATCTGCTTTTTTATATCTTATAATATTAAATGTCATAACAATTAACCATTTATCATTAAGTTTATTTGTATAATTTTTGTTTTGTTGATAAATAGTGTTATTTCCTTACAAAAGAATGATAGAAACAATGGTAATTAAAACATGTTTGATTTCAATAAGTGATTAGAGCCTTTAAGTATATTTTAAGTACAAAAAGTATGTCATGTATCACTGGATTCTAATTTCATACATCTTTATCGTTACATCCGCTTAAAGTAATGATTAGTTTAAATAATTATAATTTAAATTCATCAATGGATTTATAGAGTCAGAGAAGTATCATGAGATGATAGCAGCTACAGAGAGTCCACCACGATTTTCGGGTTCATTCCGTTTGAAAGATGATGCCGAATTTCCACCTGTCACGCAAAGAACGGATTGAGTGTAATGATTTTACGCATATCAAAAAATTACAGATGAAGATGAATTACATACAGCAGTGATCTAAATTAAAGACACTATAGTACAGGTTGAACGATAAGTTATCACATGTAAGACGTTGCAAGTACAAGGAAGCAACAATTATTTTGTAATGAGAATATTACAACAAACACATTAATGAATTTGTATAAATTACATAACTAACGCCAAAATTAGCATGTGTTTAGTGTCCATATTGTTTCCAAAATTGACATTTTGAAAAGACTATCAGGATACTTTTGTTTATGATTACAGTTATTTTTTCAAATCAGTATTTTCTACTAGAACATTATCATTATCAAAGAGCGTAAAGTTTGTTTTAGACAATGTAGTAATTTAATAATAAGTAATGGTTACTGCAATGCTCGAACAAAAAAAAAGATATTGAATAAACTCAAGCTAAAATATGCTTGAAAATATTTAGCAAAAATGTTTGACATAAACATACATGAAACAGTATGTAGACATTTAAGTATTTTTACTGTGAATTAAAACATAAATACGATAAATACTACATATTCTAGATATGTTATTGACAAACAATAATTATTTATAATACGTGATACTCATTGTATTTACTGTGTGAAACAAGATTTTCTTATTGAATTGCTGTATATTGTAATTATATTTTCATCTTCTGTGTTCGATAATTAACAAAATATCATATTCTCTTAAAATAAAATGTAAAAAAAAAAATGGGAAAGATTATAAATTGAAATTTTATAAAGAATATAATACTTACAAGGTTTTGAGGAACTTTTCCATTAATATTTTTCAAAAATTAAATGTTCTGAAATATTTGTGATAATATTTCATGGTTTCTTTTTACATAAGTTAGCTCAATAGAATGAAAATTGAAAATAGATTTATATAAATACATAAAATAAGATAAATTTCTTAACATATTTTAATTTTTATTGATTTTTGGACACAAAATATATATAAATAGGTATTTTAAAAAGCAAAAAAAAAAAGAAAATAGAATAGTTGAACTATTATTTCTTTAAGCAAATTATATTGAAAAAGAAAAAAATATGTTAACCCATTTTCGATTATTATTATACTTTATCCCATTGTATAATGTAAAATGCATAATGAAGTGTAGTTGTTGTCTACATATAGTAATATACTCTAAACACTTTCTTCTAAGTAAGGATTGAAGTGTATTTGTGTTTTTTTGATAAAAGATATTTAATTGTAAATGTAAAATTTACCATTGATTGATTTGTTAAATTACTAATGTGATCCTTTGATAAACAGCAAATGTTTTCTCACCTGTAAATTAATTTTCAAATTAATTGTATATACAGTACTGAGCAAAGTAGGCTTCCCGAGGAAAAATGGCAATATAGGAGAAGCAGAAATTTTCAAAATTTTAGTTTCAGCGCTACTAATATTAAATCAAATTTTCCCGCGCAGAAGTTTACGCGCAAGCGCGGGCAGCCATAGACCTATTTCTTCCCCTATTACATCGTCATTGTCCTCGGGACCACTCAAGGGATCAGACAGTTTGTGTGGTAAGGGGTTACAAACCCGGCGATGAGGTATTGTGGCATTTTAAAAATTACATAATTATAGATGATTTTTCTGTATTTTATTCTTATTTTTATTTCCTATATTATGTTTTTAATTTGATTTATTCATGGCACTTTGTTTGCTCTCTATACTTTTTTTAATTTTTAACTGATTGAAAAAATGTTCAAAAAAACTTAAAAATACTGTATTTATACGTTTATATTGAGAAAGACACATCGTTTGTTAAATGTTAAAATGTGTGTTGTCTGTAACCCTTACTTTGCTTCTTACTTGTACTAATTTTAGCTTTTTTTCTAAATTTAATAAACGTAAAATAAAATCAAGAAATTTGTAAATATTTTGACCTAGAATTTTACCATGTTTCATTTCGAAATTATATTGCGATAAAATGTTTACTTACTTGTATGTGGTACTTTTGAGGGGTGCTGACAACATGTATTCTTTTTCTTGTATTAATTAAAATCGTAATATTATTTTTTAAAGATAACGTAATTGTAAAATATGCAAATATTATGATCTGTAATGTATTTTTTGCTAATTTTATATTAACATAAATGTAATATCTTGTTTAGACTTTCCGATTATGCTAATAATTCAATTTTTCAAAATATAATTAATTATGAAACAATATCATTAAACATAGTGATAAATTTTTGTACAATAAAATGTTTTATGACAATATTCTTTTATTCATTTTATAATTTGTATTCAATTCATTAATTATTACTTTGATATTTCATGCAATTGAAAAATAAATGCTAAGAAATAAAATTGCAAGCTGTATTGTTGTATTTTTCAACTAATACCAAAATTTGTAAGTGTTGTGCAAATAAATCTGCAACAAATAATTTAATTGGTCGATATTTCGATATTTATTAGCATGGTTTAATAACCAAGTGTAAGCCTTCAAATAAAATGGCTGTTAAGATTTACCCAGGATATAGAAATTTTAACACTTTTATTCTAAAATGAAAGGATTCAAGAGATTCTTTGGTAATTTGTAAGTAAATTTACTACTACAAGCAGACTGCAAATTCACCAATACACATCACCAGTTTCAACAATTTCACTGATATAGCATAAACTCTCACTTTACTGTAATCTCAGTGTGTGAACAATAAGATGTAATTATAGAAATACAGTGACAACATAGCAAAAGAGTCTATCCCTAATTAACATTGAAAAAAATATATGTATAACACTGTTACAAAATATGAATTACATTTTATATAAGTAACTAAGATATAAAATTACATAGAAAAATGTTATGAACAACGGAACATTCGTATAATTCTATGCAATTTATATACAATATGACATATTTTATTAGGGTAGTTTATACATTGTAACAAAGAGTAACCAATTTCATTACATCTCATCGATACAAATGGTTTATATTCAAATTTTATGTTTTGCTTTTTATTTTTGTAAAATTAATTGAAACGTTATTACATTGCTTTCAAGCAAATTTATATAATTTTAGTAATCTAACTTACACGTTACACGTTTAAAAAACTTTGATATCAAAAAGTGGCGTCTGATTAAATCTTTACACAATACAATTTGATTACGATCTACCCTAATTATATACGTTAGATTGCATATACTTACATAGAATATCAGAGCTAAATAGGATTTTTATATATTTTTATATTATTCAATTACTTAAAATTACTTTTTGCGAAATTTGTGTTTACAAACACAGATACTTGTGAAACAGACAGGCCCTTTTGTCGCATGCTCACTGTAATGAGGTACAAAGATATGACAACTTAGCTGTAAAGATCATCATCCCCATCATCTTGGAAGGTTTGATCACCTTGCGTTGTATCTTGCGTTCCGCTGGTTCCGCTCTGCGGAAATCTATGAGCGAGATAATTAAAATTAGTTTAAATGTAAGAATACAACGTATGTAAAATTAAAAAATGTCTGAATTTACCTGAAATTACTTCCAAAACCACGAGACTGTTGAAGTGTTTGTGCAAACATTTCATATTTCCGGATATCATTATCGGATACCGAACGTCGCGCAAACCTCATCGCTTCTTCGAAGTGAGCTCGTGTTATTTCCGGTACAGGGTCATCTTCATCCATCTTAACATTACATATAATATTAACGGTTATTGTCTTCATATAAATAAGCGCAATCATAATGAATTACTTACATCCATAGATGCAGAAGGATTACTAGCTCGTTCTTTTTCTCTTCGAATTTCAGTTTCAATGCTTTGTCTGATCGCAAGTTTGCACGCACGTTGACAAATTTCTGTTATATCGGCACCAGAGAACCCATGCGTCACTTTAGCTATATAGCTTAGATCTACATCCTATAATGCGGATATTAATTAATAATTAATAGTTGATATGTTTAACTCGCAAATATAACAAGATATAAGGTTCTGTATTTAATTTTCTTTTACCTTAGCTACAGGCGATTTTCGAAGATTGGCTCTGAAAATCGCTTCGCGAGACTTCTCATCCGGCAATGGAATATAAATCAATTGATCTAATCTACCAGGTCGTAAAATAGCCGGGTCTATAATGTCAGGACGATTAGTAGCGCCTATTATGAAAACGTTTTTCTTTGCTCCCATCCCATCCATTTCTGTTAAGATTTGATTTATCACGCGATCCGCTGCTCCGCCAGCGTCTCCTACAGTACCTCCACGAGATTTTGCAATAGAATCAAGTTCATCGAAAAACAGTACACAAGGTGCTGCTGATCTTGCCTAAAGGTATAATAACAGAATAAGTAAAATTGCAAATGTAACTATTTATTTCTTGTTATTTATCGAACAACTTACCTTATCAAAAACATCTCTAACATTTGCTTCAGACTCGCCAAACCACATCGTTAATAATTCAGGACCCTTTACAGAAATGAAGTTTGCCTGGCATTCATTAGCAATCGCTTTAGCCAATAATGTTTTACCGCAACCAGGAGGTCCATAGAATAATACACCTCTCGATGGTTGCATACCAAATTTCAAGAACTTGTCTGGATGTTCAACTGGATACTATGTAATAAAAGATATTTAGTTATGCGAATGTAAAGTTTATATTTATTTAGTGTAAGTATGTAACAGTTTGATATTTACCTGTACTAACTCTTGCAGCTCCATCTTAACATTCTGCAAACCTCCAATGTCATCCCATGTAACAGTTGGTACTTCCACAATGGTTTCTCGTAAAGCACTTGGACTACTCTTGGTCATGGCATACTAAAATCATACGTAAGATATTGTTTATACAAAATTTATGTAAATTTACATTGACGTTGAGCGAGCGTAAGTTAATATTTACCTTGAAGTTATCCATTGTTACGGCAAGAGAAGATAAGACTTCGGCATCTATGTGTTCTTCCTCTAAATCAATAAGATCCATTTTTTCACGAATTTGTTGTAATGCTGCTTCAGAGCATAATGATGCTAAATCGGCTCCAACATGACCGTGTGTTTCTGCTGCGATCTAAATAATTTTATCAATTTATTAAATAATACCAAGATAAACGGTACAACAATTATAAAAGTTTATATCAACCTCTTCTAACTCAACATCATCGGCAAGTTTCATGTTTTTCGTATGAATTCTTAAGATTTCTAAACGGCCAGTTGCATCGGGTATACCAATATCAATTTCTTTATCAAAACGACCGAAACGTCGTAATGCCGGATCAATGCTGTTGGGCCGATTAGTAGCTGCCATTACAATAACATGAGCGCTTTGTTTCATACCATCCATTAAAGTTAATAACTGAGAAACTATACGCCTTTCTACTTCTCCATGCGTCTAAATTAAATTATATTAATAATTACATTGGGAATCTATTAATCGATCAATTAAACTAATAAAGTGTTGGTTCTATACTTTTTCTCTTTTCGGAGCAATGGCATCAAGTTCATCGATGAAAATAATAGCTGGAGAATTTTTCTCAGCTTCTTCAAATGCTTTTCTTAAATTACTTTCCGATTCCCCGGCAAGTTTACTCATAATTTCGGGACCTTTCAACATAAGTAACATTGAGTAACATTTCGGAATAAGATAGTGTTTTACAGTAATAACATACCATTAATAAGAAAGAAGAATGCTCCAGTTTCATTTGCAACGGCACGAGCAATAAGAGTTTTTCCTGTACCAGGTGGTCCATATAAGAGAATACCACGAGGTGGTTTAACTCCAATAGCTTTGAATAAAGATGGATGTTTTAAAGGTAATTCTACCATTTCTTTAATTTGAGCTAGCTGTTTACGAACACCACCGATATCGTCGTAACCTACAGCATTTAACGACTCCTCTTCTTCCTATAAATTTTATTCGCATATTTATATCACAATACATAAAATCTAGTAATAATAAAGAATGAATATTAACCAACCTCTCTCTTAATAGGTTCACCTTCACAATGAATTACAGTATCTGGAGCTACAATGCAAAACGGCCCAGGATCTGTTTCTACAACCTTAAATTCAACGGCGCGCATTCCACCGCGTACGATAAAATTGTCATCTTTATGAATCGGACGATAAGCTTCCAGAAAATAGGGTTTTAAATATACTTCAAACAAATTTCTGTAAAAAAAGGATGAATTACTTTATTAATGATCAAGTTAATAAGTGATAATAGCAGTAATAGCAATAGTCTTACCCAGTTAAACCAGTTATTGTGTCATCCATTGGTAGTACATGAATACGTTTTCCATATTTAACTTCTGGACACGCTTGTACAGATACAACATCGCTCAAACGTACGCGTAAGTTATTTCTTATAACTCGATTCATACGAATTTTTTCATCTGGACAAGTATCATCAGAGAGTACAATGCATACAGTTTCTTTCCTTCTCTTTCCTTTCAGCAATACTGTATCTCCTCGAAAAAGTTGTAACTCGTCCATCTTTGCTTGAGAAAGAGCCACAACAGAATTATCATCTGCAATGGCTTCATCTACTAACAATCTATTTGGCTTATCCTTCTTTCGAAGGATTGCTGTTGCCAGGTCTTCACTGCTGAAACAAAGTATATAATTAATAAAACAAAATAGTGAAAATAATTGCAATTAAAAGATGTCTTGACAAATTAATTTTTTTTAGAAAAAATATAATTTTATTATACTATTGTTTGCTAAATATACCGACATACACTAAATGTGTAACAAAAATAAGTTTATGAGTTACGTGGTTAGCTGATAAGATAACATTTAATATGTTAATTACACACATATATCTATAAATAATTGCAAGGGAGTAAAACAGGTTAATAAAATTAATCTTTTAAAAATAAATATACCATTTCTGCACATGGTTTGATTTTATAAATATTTAAAATATATGAATATTTAATCATTTCGATAATAAAGTTCCTTTAATGGTATAATTATTTCATATTAATTGTTATTAGAAATTTCTTATAAATGTAGCAAATGTTACAATGTAAAAAGAATATTAATGTGTCAGCAAAATTTCTTTGTCACGTTCATTGCAGGTTCGGCCATGATCAGTCGGCATATAAAAATGATAAGTGTTATTCGTGTCATTACGACGAGTTACCTAAAAAAGCTGTTAATTAATAAAGAAAAGTTATGTTTTTTATTCTAAAATTAAAAACGTATTATTTATTTTCAGAAGAATTTGCGAAAAGACGCGTTGCGTCGACATGATGACAACGTAAAATTGGAAGCCAGTATGGATGCATTTTATTTTCATACTTCGTTTTTGTGTTTTAAAGTAATATATATGAAATTATTATACACCTTAATTAACTAAGTACTTTTTTCAAACAATTTACCTTTTTGGATCGCTCATTATTGACTCGATTTCAACGCAAAAGAAAATGCACACGCAACGATCAGAACCACTATCGCAACACCTTCAAGTCAGCTACACTCACAGTCCAATCCAATGAACATTCTTCATTTGAACTTCCATGGCTTGCATTGGACTTCCTATTGTCGAAATGAAAACTGAAGGTAAATTTACAATTTATTTTTCGATAATTCTATTGGTTATATTAATATTAACATTATTGTTGCTTATTTTGTTTTTCAGAAATTTCAACTGTTCAACTTGTTATCAAGATCCTAAAAATGTTACCATATGTATTCCATTACAATATAAACTTCAAAATCTATAAAACTCATATCAATATAAATAAATTATAAATTATTATTGCTTATATAATTAATAATTATCCATTTATACTTAATAATGTTTTATGCATAAATACTTTTTAAAACATTTGAATACAACATTTTTGAAAACATTGGTTCATCTTGGATATTTATTAATTTTTGATAAAACTTAGTGCTGTATTAATGTAATAATCGTAATAAGTGTGAAGATTCGCTGTTACATTTTTTTTATTACTTTTAAATTTATGCTACATTCATTTGATCATCTATCAGCATGTAGTTTTTAAAAGTGTGTGAAGGTTTAGCTAGCTTACGTCACGACATTCTCAAAGTGAGAATACGATAAATACACTTGTCAAATCAGTGTATGATGGCTGGAATTAAAGGTTATTCATCATATTTTTGATCACATAGATGTATAACTTCTTATTACAAAATCTAAAAAAATGATATTGTTAATGAGGGTTTAACAAGAAGGTTGAATTAAAAAATGATACGTCAAAACATAACCTTACTGGTCTTATTGTCATTACTGTCAAATTCTTGTATACAGGCGACACATGTTTATGATTCATACACATACATATTAATATGATTTATTATAATTTTATTTTTATTAATTTATATATTTACTTTATATCAAATGTTTGTTAAGAAAAAGTTGCAATTATCTTTCATAAGCATTACAATTACTAAACTTATAAGAGATGTTATATTAACCCATATATAGAATGTAATGTATTTTTCATGGTGAAAATGAAATTGATTTATCATTTATACCTTAGTTTATATGTATATGTGTGTTCTATAACTATACATGTATATTTATTTTATTTCATAAATCATATGAAATTATTTGATAATACATTATTTTATTTTTGTTCCATGCAATGAATGGTCTTCACTATCAAATAGCGTAAGTATTTTGATTTATAAGAAACTGATGTTTTAATGAGTATTATAATAAAATGAGAATTTTTTTTTCAGATTAGTAATTTTGGCATTTGCTGGATCTATTGGTATGACATTTGTCATACTTGGATGTGCTTTGCCAGCATATAAGTAAATATTATTGTTGATATATAAGTATTTATAATAATAATTCTGTTAATATATTCAAATTAATGTTATATAAATTATAGTGGAACTTGTCTACTAATTTTTATGTGTTATGTTTAGAATATGGTGGCCATTTTTTGTTGTATTATTCTATGTATTGGCACCCATTCCAACAATAATTGCACGTCGCTATACAGATGATTATGGAAGTAATTCCAATCCATGTTTGGAATTGGCTATATTCATAACTATGGGTTTTGTTGTATCATCTTTTGCTCTTCCTATGGTCTTAGCAAGATCACCAGCCAATGATCCAGTGGTATATTTAAATTATATATGTCTTTTAAGTATTATATTATACATTTCTATATGAACATTCATGTACATAGAACATAAAAATATATTTCAGATACACTGGGGTGCTTGCTACTTGACATTAGCGGGTAATGTTGTCGTGTATCTAACTTTAGTGGGATTCTTTATAACATCTGATCAAGATGACACTTATTACAACACATGCTGAAATGCTGTACTTCATTGTACTTATTTATTTAATTTTACATGGTAATATTATTAACCATATTCCATTGTCTTGAAATTGTTTTCTACTTTTGTACATGCAATTTGAACACTTTCAGGTTTTTGCAAAGCAAGAATGTAAATCATATACTGCACTGACTGACAGTTGTGAATTAATTCTAAGTCATTACAAAATTTATAATATACTAATTATAATATTATCATAAGTTGTTCATAATACAATCAGTACTAATGACACAACAAGTAGTATTACAGTAATTAACATTTAATTTTATGGTGATTTATTTTGATATTATCATTTAGTAGCTTAACATTTTCCAACGTATAAACGTTCTTACAAATTATCTTGGATAAAATTAGAAGCACAACTATGCTAAAACATGTAAAATTTAATATATTTCTTTTTATTAATCTAAGTTTTCGATAGCAATATCAATAAAGTTACAATTTTTTACATTATTTTGAATCTTGCATTACCTTTTGCGAATAAATATTTATAGATATAAAAAGAATGTAACATTATATATACATATAACAATTTATAAATGTTTTGTATACCGTGGTTACATTCGTTCCTAGTCAATACAAAAAATTCATACAATTTTAGATTACTATTGTCCATCACTGTTGCTATAGTTTCATTCTTGTTTGTATATACCTATAATCATCTTATTCCTACTTCAAGGTATTTAGTAGATATTTCATTAAATAAAGTTAATATATTTCACATTAAAATAAACTTACTTATTACAAGGTTTTTTTTTAAACATAATTTAAAACTTTGTATACTGATTAGTACAGTGACTGTTGTCAGCAATTGGCATAAACACAAAATATATTAAGAGATTATTCACAGGACAAAATCGCATCATGTGAACATTTGTATAGGCATGAAAAGTTAATATAAAATAATGGAAGTACATTTATACTCATAATCTTAATCAAATTCATGTAAAAGGTATAATGAATCAAAGGCAGTATTCGCAATGTAGTCTGAGTTGTGATCAAAAGCTTACTGATCCATCTCAGAATTCCATTCAACAATGTAAAACTAATATACAGCAAGAAACTTTAAAACAATCTGTGAATCTGTTGCCGAACAGTATAATTTGCTTAAAAGATCTAGCTGATGGCACATGGTTATGGAGAAAATCTCATATGAAACCCCTTAAAACATGTAAGAGTAACAGGACAATAAAAAAACTAAAGATGAGTAAGTCATCAAAAAGAAAAGTAAGTTTTGTCTTTAAATTATTTTCATTATTTTATTAAAAAGTTACAGGCTTATTTAAAATAATATTTTTAAAAGGTGTGCATAAACGAAGCAGAAATTCCGAAATCCATAGAGGAACAGATAAGTATTTTATTGGAAGAAATTAATAAGGAACAAAAGGAATTAAAGGAAACAGAGCAAATAAAGGAAGATCATAATATCTCAATATATTTAAAAAATTATTGTAGCCCTAAGGATGATGTGCCTTACTATGACTACAATAATCTTCAAGAAGCAAGAAAACGTATTATTGGCAAGCTTCAAAGACGAGAAGAGTAAAGTCATTTTCAAACAAATCATGTTTATAACGCGAAAAATGTTATAGTAGTTTGTGACGACACCTACTTCCGTTTAGTGACCTCATTGGAACCTTCATTTCTGCTACCAAACAATTACAAATAGCAGTGTCATCTACTTCCGGAGAACAAATGGTGCTTTAGGTGTCGCCATAAGTCATTGTTTTAAAAACAATTTGGAAGTCTACAGTTTTAAATAATTTATTTAACTTATGTTAATTGTATAATGATAATTTTTTCTTCAAATTTATTGTTTCAGCTTTGAGGAACAACTGGCCAAACTCGAGTTAGAAGTTATTGAAGATTATAAGGAATTTCTAAAATCGTGTATAGAATATTCAGTTTTGAATATGCGAGCACCTGTTCCTTGGCATCAATTCAAAGTTACCGCTAATCATTTTATGCAATATAATCTATTTATCGGAAATGAAATATTAAAGGATATTCAAAATTTATACTTCTTTAAGTAAGCCCTACAAATATCGTACTTCAGGCTATTTCCTAACAAAATTTTATTTTTCAGGTATCAAGATGTAATGATAATCAACATTCGAGATATAGGAACACTTCCTATTTCTGCTTTCGAAATAGAACCGAAAATCAATCTTTTATGCGATAAGGCTATGCATTTACTTATTAAAGAATGGTTGGCTGATGTTGCGGATATTTTTTTGGAGAAAAAGCATGTTTGGTCTTTCTACGTCCAAAAACACTACAAAGCATCGACCGTATTGATTGAAAAATATTTTCGAAGCGTTAATACTCTTTTGTCCAGGCAATTACGAATGATGGTAATGAAAACGCTCAGTCATGTCAAAGAGTATTTTATGGAATACAGCGGTGGAAATTATTTCAAGGGTAATTATGAGGATCTGATGTTTTTAAAGTAAGCAATCTGCTTTCTTAAATTTCTATTACCTTCTCATATAAAATAATGTTTAATATAATTTATATTGTAGACCACCTTTTATGACAATAAATGTGGAACCAGAACTTGGTACAGCGAATTTACATTGCAGACCAAGTATCTCAGAAGTTCGTGAAATCATTTCAAGATGTTTTGATAAGATTATCACAATCACTACAATGATTCCAAAAATTGAGACTATTCTGTTTCCTGAATTAGAGAAACAAGAATTTCTCTCCTCTGCTTCACGATACGAAGATGTGGTTAATAAATATTAATAATTTATGCAAAAAATACTATATTTCGGTTTATTAAGTTTGTCAATTTTTTAAATATAATTATCACAGGTATACAATAAAATTAATACTGTACTAAACGTTATCAGTGTTCACGCTGAGGGTCCTGAAATTTATTTACAATGTTACGAAGATTTATTGTATATTATCGATGGTCAAGCGAAAAAAAATCTAGACAACTTCTTCAGGATCGAACCAATGCCATTTCTGCGTGAATTCGAACAAAGGATAAGGAGTTACGATGATATCAAGAAAGAAATCTTCATGTTTCGTAACAAGGCAAGTATGTACGAAGAATTGAATTACTTTAATGTGTTGTATTAATGTTAGTTTTATCTTAGATCCCTCTTAATATGATAGAAGTTGATTGTACCATTGTGAATGACACACTGAGGCAAGTTTTACACGAACTCCGAACTGAAATCTGTGACTTCTTTGCGAATGACTTACGATCAAATAATCGCGAGTTGTGTTCAACTTTCGATACAATAGCTGAAAACATTTCGAAAATGCCAGAGAAGACACGAGACGTCGTCGAGTTATACAATTATCTATGCGAAAGTCGGGATTCAACTATGTTCAATCTGAAACGAAAATTGGCATTTTCCATAGAATTACTTTTATTCCTATTCGATTATCAACCGCCAACGGACGAGGATATACAATTAAACGTCCGTACTATTACATGGCCGAAGGAAATGGAGAATGTAATGGAACTGGCTAACACTAGATTAAACATGAGGAAGCAATTCCTGGAGGATGTGTTACGATCAAGAAGGGACAACTTTGAACAAAAAATATTCAATCTCGAGTTGGCGATTGATGAATTTAAGAAGAAAGATCCCCCTGTTTTAAACATATATGAAATGGAGGAGACAACCGAGGAGAGTGAACAACTTTCCAAAGGAATGGAGGAGATTCGAAAGGAAGCCGAAGAGATAAACGAAGAAGAAGCTCTTTTGGATATGGAATTAAGTCCTTACTTAACACTTCCTGCCATGTCTGCAATAGTGAATACACTGGATACACTTTGGCATACTGTTTACAATTTCCATATACACTATGATAAATGGTTTAACGGTCCATTCTTGGGTCTCGATGCCGACCAGATTCAAGAAGAAACCGACAACACTTGGCGAACATTATACAAACTGGCACGTTTGCTTACCGATATCCCTGGTGCTAGGAGAGTTACCGAAATGGTGCGAGGAAAAGTGGAGAAATTTAAACAATTTGTCCCTCTTTTATTAATTATATGCACGCCTGGATTACAACACCGACATTGGGAGCAAATGAGCCACCTGGTCAATATAGATGTAACACCATCGGAGACAACTAGTTTAGCCAATATGGTAGAATTAGGATTATTAGCCCACATAAGCAAACTAGAAGAAATATCATCGGCTGCTGTTAAGGAGCACGCTCTGCTACAAAATTTACAGAAGATGAAGGATGAATGGTCTGAGATTGAATTTAACTTCATGCCGTACCGCGAGACAGGTGTCTTCATTTTAACCGCTGTAGATGACATTCAAGTACTTCTCGATGATCATATATTGAAGGCTCAAACGATGAGAAGTTCTCCGTTTGTAAAAGCATTTGAAAGCGAGATGCAAACTTGGGAAAATAAGTTGCTAATGATGCAAGATATCATTGATCAATGGTTAGTATGTCAATCAACGTGGATGTATTTAGAGCCGATATTCAGTAGCGAAGATATCATGAGGCAAATGCCAACAGAGGCGAAGAATTTTCGTAGGTTAGACAAGATTTGGCGTGGCATTATGTCCTACGCTGTTGCTAATAAACGAGTACTGGATGCTACTGGTATGAAGAATATGTTGCAGGAATTAACATTGTGTAATGCTCTATTGGAAGAGATACAGAAAGGTTTGAACGATTATCTCGAGAAGAAACGTTTATTCTTTCCAAGATTTTTCTTCTTGTCGAATGACGAGCTTCTGGAAATCCTGTCTGAAACAAAGGATCCTCAAAGAGTACAGCCTCACTTGAAGAAATGTTTCGAGGGCATTAGTAGGCTACGATTCACTAAGGATGAAGAAATCATTGGGATATTATCCGACGAAGAAGAATATGTTCATTTGAGCGGCAAGATTTATCCAGCCGATGCTAAAGGTTTGGTAGAGAAATGGCTGAGTCAAGTTGAACAACTTATGGTTGCTTCTCTTCGCGATATTGCTGAAGAAAGTATCATTGCATATTTCACTGCTATTAGAGAAGAATGGATATTCGCTTGGCCCGGTCAAATTATTATCTGTGTTAGCCAAATACATTGGACCAGTGAAGTCTGCGAATCATTTGAAAATCATTCTACTTCTGATTATTTGAAGCAATGCAGTCTTCAGATTGAAAGCACCGTTACTCTAGTTAGGGGAAAATTAGATCCAGGTGCAAGAATAACGATCAATGCTTTGATCGTGATAGACGTGCATGCACGAGACGTAGTGAAGCT